GGCTGGATTGTCTGAAAGATGCTAGGAGGAGGTGGCAATTCAGTATAGTGCAGGGGCAGGCAAGGTGGTGCCTGCAGGTACTTGTACCATAAAAATTGGATAATCTGTCATATGATGATGACCTATCATTTTTGTTGTTGCTGTGAAGAAACCTGTTGGATCAAAGCCAGTTTCCAATAGTGCTTCATGCTACAAATACTTCATGGAATCATAGGATAGTAGAGTTGGAAGGGGCCATGAAGGTCATTGGGTCCAACCCGCTGCTGTTGCAGGACACCAATTTACACCATCCCACTCAGATGGCTGCCCAGTTTCTTTCTGAATGTCTCTAGTGTGGGAGAACCCACCACCTCTCTAGGCAGCTGGTTCCACTGTTGTATTGCTCTGACAATGAGGAAGCTTTTCCTGAGATCTAGGCTGAATCTGGGTTGTCACAGCTTGAATTGGTTATTCCGTGTCCTACATTCTGGTATCAGCAAGAAAAGATATTGACTTTCCTCTTTGTAACAGCCTTTGAGGTACTTATAGTGATACCATGTCCCCGCTCAGTCTTCTCTTCTCAAGACTGAACATGCCCGGTACTCTCAGTCTCTCCTCAAACCCTGAATCATTTCTGTTGCCCTCCTCTGGACCCTTTTGTACCTTGCTAATCCATCTCCTTCAGTACTAGAACCAGAATCATCCCATGAAGCTCATTGGTGGGTGATTCAGAAGCAGGTAAGGAAGTACTTCTTCATACAGTACATCATCTATGCAATTTGGCATCACAAAAGTATGGCCACTAGTTTGGATGGCTTTAAACAGGGATTAGGCAGGGATGATGGTGATATGCTACCTCCAGTATCAGGAGATATGCTTGTGTACTGGGGAACATGGGAATACTGTTGCACCCATGTCATAATTGTAGGTTTCCTGCAGGCAGCTAATTGGCCACTGTGTGAACAGAATGTTGCACTAGCTTGACCCTTTGTTTGACCCAGCATGGCTTTTCTCATGCTTTTACGAAATCGAGAGTCCTCCCCGGTACTTTGTCCAGATGCATGCTTCTGCCGAACAACTAATGCTAACTGTCAAATAAAGTGACAGGAGGAGGGGAAACAGAAGAGGGATATAAAGATATCCAAGCCAGAAGTGACTTTCATTTCCATACTTACTGTGCCAAGAGAGGAGATTTATTAGATTTTGCATTGGCAGCTGATCGCTTTTTCCCTGCTAACTTTCGGCGGTTTGTAGGAGGAGTGGGACCTTGGGTTTGATTCTTAGATGCTGCACGTGTAGTTGGCTTGCTGGGCTGCTTTCTGAAAATAATGAGCACAGACTGTGAATGTACAGAATATAGATTATACCGCAGACCCAGTTAAGGGGAAAGCAATAACTCGAAAACATTCGATACTTTTGGAAACACACTGTTACACCAACCACTTTGAAGAAAGAAATAACTCTCTGCAATCTATTAACTTTTATATCTTGGTTATTGTGGTTTCTGGAGCTGCAAGTCCCAACTGCACTTCTAAGGCATTCTGTCCAGTGTATGCGTCTAGCACCCAGCAGATGGAAAAGCAGTGGGGGTGGTGGAGTAGAATGGGAAAATGGTAGGCATGAGAAGAAAGGAGTCTGCCCCTCTATACAGCACTTCTAAATATCCCGTTTATGTGAACACGTGAAGCTGCTGTAAAACCATAGATTTGTCTAGCTTAAAACTTGTAATATCTGGGAACCCCAGTACAGTGCCTCATAGCACCTCTCTTGACACCTGCAAGGCTCTCTCTCCTCTGGATTTTTAATTTTGTCCTTTATTTTTGAAAAGTTATTCTGTTTCTTTAACTGGAAGGCTTGGCATGCCGTAAAGTTAACTACCAGCCTCCAATGCCACCTTTATTTCCAAGAAGGTTCCTAGGCCCTGTGTTCTAAAGCATGCCCGGCTGTCCATGAAGTATGCTTGGGGTTGGTAGGGCATATCCTGAGGGTGGGGCAGCAACCCTGAAGGTTTTGTCAGTAGTGTGTGGGCTTTTTGTGAGGGGTATACAAGAAGTATGCTCTGTGCCTGTGCGATTTGTGTATTTTGCTGAGACCAGCGGGTATGTGTGAGAAAATGCCTTACATTCTCTGTTTCTTTGAGTTAATTTTCTGTGAGCCTTGTGAGTTTTCCTTCTTGGAAATGGGAGTTTTATGAGAGGCCATGTCCAACATGGCAGCCATTTTGCAAAATGCCAAGTCCATTGGCAACCACTTTGTAAAAGTGTCCACAATTCCCACAGTAGTCCAAATGCGTGCAATGACTAAACAATGCCAGCAGTCCCTTTTCTATGCAGACAGGCACTCGCTTTCTAAGTTCTCAGGCAAAGGACTTTATCAGCCCTGCTACCAGGGATCCTTTGCACTATAACTGAGCCTGAAGCTTCCAAGATGCAATGTATGTGCTCCATTTTTGGCCCATGGCTCCTCTTTTCATGAAGTTTGACCTAATTTCCAGAAAACAACTTTGAAACAGATATCGTGAAACTCAGCTTTATCTGAAGATTTGCTTGAAAAATGATTTTTTGTCACATATTAGGTTTCCTTTCCATTACTTTGAATGTGCAGGTACCCATACTGAAAGATTTAGCAATGCTATAAAAATGATGCAAATCTAGTCATGTCAATTGGAACAGGAAACAGGGAAAATTTATTCACTAATTATCACTGCTGGAGTTATTTCTTGGGGTAACTCCAGTTCATAAAGCACCTGCCAGGGTTTGCTCTGGATCTAGTAGACCAGATCAGATTACATTAATTATTTACTGGAATCACTGGTATTCAAAAATATTGTTTTTGACCTTTAAATAATTAAAACTCTAAATAGCCAGGGTCTCTCAATCACTGCCTCCCTACATAGAAGCCTCTACTGGAACTTGTTCTATCAGTGAAGCCCTTTAATCCTTGGCCGTATGATTGATGGGATGAGATGCGACTTTTTCAACTGCACATTCAGAGTCTGGAACAACCTCCACAAGAGGGAGACCTGGCCCTTTTGTTGAACATTTTTGGAGCAGTGAAGACCAGGCCTGCCCAGGATACAACTTTTTAAAGGTCATACTGCTACTGCTATTTTTAACCTTGTGAAAAATTAAAATCCTTGTAAGGTTTAAGTTTAAGGTTAGAGCCTTGTAAATTATTTTTACTTCAGCTGACCATCATTTTATTGCCTGTTAGCCAGTTTTGTTTTTGCTTTTTTTTTTAACATAGAAAGATGGGGTAAAACTGTCAGAAGTATATAGGAAGTTCTTGCCCTTGGATTAAAAACAATAGGATAATGAATTGGCTTCAATATTTTCATTGAATGTAAGATAGCTCCATCCATTATTTGAGCCAGTGGACAAGATTTAAAGCATTACTAGGTTATTTTGTCCCACACTCTGGAACATAGCAGCTCACCCTTTTTTGCAGAAACCCTTCCTATCCTATGCAAAGCCACTCAAAGAGAGCTTCTTGCAAAGCATCCAACTTAATATCCAAGTCTTAACAGAGTTGCCATTACCTTTGAGCTTCTAATCGCGAAGCTGACCTAGTTGTGGCTCCCGAATGCATCTCATCGGCATCACCGTTACCACCATCCTCTTCTCTATTATCACCACCTTCCTTGCGGTCATCTTGCTCTTTTGTTTCTCCTTCAACTGCAGGTGCTAACTTCTGACGTTTTCTCTCTGGCTCAACTGAGTCCATTCCTGCAAAGTTTTATTCACACACTTAAATGTCTACCGAAGTCTCCAGTAAGGATATGGACACTAATTTAGATGAGGAATTCTAAATGGATCTTGTGAGTGGAACAAGTAATTTTCCATTTCCTTAGTGTCTTAATTCATACTTGTTTAAATCTTTCCAAACACATTTGCAGAAGTTTACTTCTTCAGTTCACAGCCAGAATTCATAGAAAACTCAAGTGGGTTTAGGGGAGCAGCTGGGATGTACCAAGCCTGACAAGAGATTACAGCAATTTGCACATTTTCCCATAATATTTACTTTAGCTATAATCCAATGATTTTCCCCCCCAATGAATAAAGATAATAAAGCTGATCTTCATATAAGCGAATGTACACCTTAAACAATAAAAAGAAGCAGAGGTTGTGTGTCTTACCTGTTTCCTCTGATGGAATAAGGGGTCGTTTGGGCTTCCTTCCTCTTCGACGCAAAACTACCTCTGTCTTCCCTCCTTCAGCTTCCTAACAGTTGGAAGTAAATGAAAAAAAAACCCCACTAATGAAACTGAAACTTTTGAGAACAAAAAGACAAGCAGAAGACAAGGGAAAGGTCTCTAAAACTAGAAAAAGCATAGAAAGAGTGGGACATTTTGCAGTGCATTCAGGATTGGCAGAAATAATAATTTCACAAAACATATATCGAAGCTATGGAAAACATATGTAATAAGATATGTAAATGAAGAATACTTGAGATAGTTTTTAAAAACAATTAGACATCTTCTCAGGTGTTACATCAGTTGGCTATGCTTGGGGATAGAGGATATTTCATGAAATCTACAGGTCAACAAGACTTTTGCACACATCTGCCTTCTAATATCTGGAGCACTAAAAACTACCTAGTTTTTTAGGTATAGATGGCTGCTGGATGCCTGAGTATTTGAACTCCAGCTGTCAATAGGTTGATGCAGTCTCTATGCTTAAAAGCAATATTCTGTGATTACAAGAGGCTGAAGATGGAGGAAATCTGTTACTTTATTGCTCTACTTTAAAGTATGCAGAGACATGCTGTTGCCCAGTAATGAAAGATGAACCTTTGCCTGATCAAACCAAGTCAATTCTACTGAAAATGTTCATTAGAGATTTAGATAGCAATGATTCTAAGCACACTGAAACTAAAATAACTATACAGAAATCAAAAGGATTTGCTTCTTAATAAACATTTTGAGAATCTGGGTACAAAGAAACTTGCATTAAAACAAGGTACTTACACTGCGTCTCTCATTCAATGAACCTTTGACTAGAAAATGAAAGCAAAAGTCAAAGTTTAAGAATTCTGTATAAAGTATATTTCCAAACACACACACTTTAGTTATTGTCTAACCAACTTTGTGGCTTCTAGATACTTTACAGCAGAAGCCCCAGGATTCCTCTTGGCTGCTGTTTTGATCAAAACATCTGGAGGGCACCAGGATGAGAAATCCTTGTTTAACTAAAGGTCACACACATTTTAAATAGGCACACACAAAAAGGGGATAGCCCTTCCAAACTGTTTTTCAAAACTCTGCCACATCATACTAAAACAACATTTAAGTTACTTCCCAGACGTTAAACATGACTAGTTCAATGGTTTGCTTCACTTCCAATATTCATTACTGGTTTGCTTTACTTCAAACATGACTGGTTCAGTGAAGGAAACTATTATGTCATTGGCTTTCCTTGCCACTTAGGCCTAAGTATCATGATATTTCTGGTCACAAAGGTTAAATGGGAATGCTCATGTATGTGGATAAGAGCTGTGAAAATCACTCTGCAACAATATAGGGAAGTGTGCTTTTGAAGTGGAAGAGAATGCCCTGGCAAACACATTAGAGCTTTTGTGTATTCCAATGTGTATCTGGAAACAATGGTACAGTAAAAACTACATTTTTGTGTACTTGGGAATACGGACTTTAATAAGGAACAAGGTTGTTCCTTAAAGTAATAGCTACATTACCTATATATAGCAAATAAATATAGTATTTTAAAAATAGGTAACTAAGATTATTACTACTTCCTTTCAATCTTCATAACCTCACACTAATCATATATTATTGGGACCAACTACTTGACTAGTTCAAAGTGTCTATATCAATACATCAGCAGGTATACAAACATGACACATTATATGGTTTTACATACTTACAAATTTTTTTCATTGCTATACCACCCAATAGCTGAAGCTTTCCAGACAGTTCACAAAGCACCGTGCAATACAACAGCATAAAACATATTTTTTCAATATAAAAAGTTTAAAAATCTACAGCTGAAACAATTCCAGTACAATTAGACCAGTCAAAAACTGTTAACACAAATGCCCCATCACACTGTTAGTGGTTATGTGCTGTCTCCAACTTATGGTATCCTCCAAAAATGACATGACATCTCTGCTTAGCTGTTCTCACACTATTAAACATTAAATCTTTAGATGCTACTAAATGCCTTGGAGGAGAGGCCAGTCTTAACCTGGTACCAAAAGATGAGAGAGTTGGTTCCTGGAAGACTTTGGTGGGGTGTTCATTCCATAATGGGGAAGGGGCTGCCACTGAGAAGGTCCTCTCATTGCTTCCTTTGGAGGTGGAACTCAGAGAAGGGCCCCATATGTTGACTGTAGTGTCCTGAGTAGGCAAACTCTGGTTGGGAGAGGTGCTCTGTCAGGTACTGCAGTCCTAAGCTATGTTAGGTTTTGTATCCTGAATCAAGTTCAGAAACTTACAAGTAATCAATGCAAGCTGGCCAGAATTGGTGTTATATGCCCCAGCCTTCTGGTCTCCGTTATTAGTTTGGCTGCCACTCTGCAGAAGCTGTAGCTTCTGAGCTACAGTCTTAAGGGCAGCCCCATGTAGAGTGCATTGCAATAATTGAACTTGGTGCTTAACAGAGTATAAATCATTGAAACAAAACCAGCCCTTTGCAGACAGGGCATCAAGTGGCAAGGAAGACTCCAGCAGTACCCCTAAGCTAAGAATCTTTAAGAGGAGTGTGACTCAATTCAAAACAGACTAAAACAACACCTTGCAAGTGATCAGAAGAACCACCCACTAACAGCACCCTAATCATGTCTGGAATGAACTCATCCAGTCTGATGTTGCAGCCAGGCAATGATTTAGTACACCCAAAGAGCAGTACAAACGCAGAGAACATACGTAACTGTGCCATGTGCCACACTTCCTTTCACACTATACCTATCACATCAACATTTCCTTTTTCAAAAGATGGTCAGATTCTATGGGGTGGGCAGTAAGACTTCTGAGAAAAATCTATTAAGTCACATCTGCTCTCTTTGTTAAGCTGTGTCTTTTGTTCTGCCTTCTCATTTAAGTCATCCATAGGAGCACCCATGCCCTAGTATTCCATTCAATGGGAGGTGAAGTATTGTGGTAAATGTAGAGGCATTCATTTTCTGACTCAACTAGAATGTTTTTGGTTATAGACTTCAGTGTGATACTACTGCTGATGAGATGTCCAACATCAGCTCTGTAAGGCTTAACTGTTAGAAAACATGCCATGAGTGTTGTCAAGTTTCTGTACACTTTGGTCAATACAAGAATGTGAATCAAATGGGGCAGTGTCATCTTACAAGCTTCACTGATCAGGTACTTCAGCACCTCCTCAAATTGTAGTGGGATTTCTACCACATCAAGTTCTGTACTTAGCACCTTATGAACAGCTTCCAGGTTTATTGAAAGTTTTAAGATGGCAGAGGGCTTCACAATGAGTGAAGCATTGATTCAAGAACTCAACAAGAGGGCCAAATACTTCATTATAGGCAGCACCAACATTCTTCTGACAGACATATACTGCTCGTGTTCCTTGCACCTGTTTTTGTGCTTTGTTAACAGTTGAATTCCTTTCAATATCACTGTTGCATCTAGCTCCATCTAACCAATAACTTTGATTTACCAACAGTGTCAGGTTCTCTATATTGAGAATGGTGAATGGTCCATCTTCTTGCAGCTGCTTCTAGTACTAATGCAAACTGTAACTGCATCAACCAGAAAAGACAAAAGCAAGCACTTATCTTCAACAAGGAGAAATGTAAGAAATCTGTATGCTATGTTCTCTCAGGCTTCTTCATAAGGAGGACTAGGAAATACTCAGACTGCATGTGGTAGTGAGAAGGAAAAGTGTTCTCAAAAATTTGGGGAAGTGTGAGGTGACAACAGTTGTCGACTTCTGCAATGCCATAAAGTTCTCTGGTTCTAAGCCTTGATGTGTGGAAATACATGTTCAGACCCATAAGCTGTTGGAACATGAGTCCAAGTTGACCAGCTAAGTTATTTGTGGATCTCCACCCAAGATTTGTCTGGTAGATTGCACACCCTAACTCCTGGATTATTGTGCCCTATGGATTGGAAGACTTATTGCCTATGTTGGCAGACACTATCTGTGACCAAGCAGGTTGCACATATGAAGCTGTGTCTACCTGCTGCAGGAACAAGTGTCTTCTTACAGGCATCTTCAGCTGCATCCAGCTCTCCTTTCGCACTGTGGCTGCAGCTAGAATGTACTGCTTTTCATCTCCAGATTTTGTATTACATAAATTTTGTCAATTTTAGTTGGACCACACTTCAGGGACAGTGCCACTGTACCTTAAGTCAATTTCTTGACAAGACTGTCTGTCATTTTCTCCAATGCACTGCATAAATTGTTTGTGGCCATTTGGAATCAAATATTGAAAATTCATCTCAGTCCTGTGTACTAATTCTGTTAAAGGAAAAACATGCTTGTCAGAAATAGTTCTTTATCCTTTCCCAAAGAACATATGATCTTAACATCACATGATGGGATTTCCAACAAGTTCAGCTCAGCACAGATTTTTTAGAGGGCAACTTCTCTCAAAGAGACTCCCAGAGTGAGTCAAGTGCTTGGCTCAGCCCAACTGAATTGGCAGGCCGTTCAGACAGAGTAAAAGACACCAGACACTATTAAGGCCAGTTTGTTATGTTTTATATATATGCCGAGATGCCGAGGCATGTGGTGACGGAATATAAAAGTTTTAAATAAATAATAATAAATAAATATATATGGTGTTTCCATGTATAGAAAACCATTTCCAGAGAACTTTGTCAACAAGACATGAGTTTCTCTGTACACTGCAACAGTATCTGTTTTGTTCCTAATAGAGAAACTGCCCTGTCTTCTAACTCAGATTCCCCACTACCACTTATACCTGGCTTCTAAACAGTTCTCCTCCAAGTCCTGAGGATTTATTCTCAAATGTTTTAGCACAAAAACTACATCTCTTTGTGTTAAAGCCAGGCCTGATCTTCCTGTTGTACCAGTTGCTCCCAATGAAACAGATTTATTAGTTTTTGAGTTGCCATTTTGTGAGGATCCTTGCCCCAGTGGTCATAGTTACAAAATTGATCGATGTAATAATAATTACAGACTTTGTGTAATTTCCTGCACTTAGCACTATATGTGATTTTTTGGTAAGGTTCCTTGGTATCTTCTATTTTCTTTTTCATGATACTTCTTGATTTTTTTCCTTTTACCTATAAAAATAATAGATAATGGACCCAGAAGAACTTGATAATGTTAGGCCAATAGCAAACGAGCGAATGGTAGTCAATCAACACCAGACCCTCTTGGATGAGACCGATTATGTGGATGCATTTCAGTCAGGATTCAGGCCCCATTTTGGCACAGAAACAGCTTTGGTTGTCCTGTATGATGCCCTATGGTGGGGCAGAGGCAGGGAGAGTGCAACTCTGTTGGTATTCCTGGGCCTCTTTCAAAAAGCAGCTTTCGATACTATCAATCATACTTTCTGCACTGACTGGGAGTTGCTCTTACTTGGATGGCAGGTTCCAGAAGGCGTCAGTCTTGCCCATCTATTTAAATATCTACGTTAAACCACTGGAGTTTAAGTCATCTGGAGTTTTGGAGTGCACTGTCATCAGTATGTCAACTATTGTTGTTTTAAGTATGACACACAGCTCTATTTCGCCTTTTCTTCTTCAGCAGGTGAGGCTGTGGGTGCAATGAACAGGTGCCTGGCTGCAACAATGGACTGGATGAGAGCTAACAAACAGAAGCTCAATCCAGACAAGAATGATATGCTGCGGTTCATCTGACCGGATGATGGGAATTCAACCAGTTCTTGATGGGGTTGCATTCCACTTTGAAGGAGCAGCTTGGGGAGTTCCTTGAGTCATCTTTGTCACTTGATGCCCACATGGCTTCAGTGGCTTGTAGTGCCTTATACCCATCTATGCTCTATCTGGACAGAGATAGTTTGCACTGGTTGACTATATAGTTCCAAGCCCAATGCTACGTGTTGGTTTTAACCTATAAAGCTTTATGTGGCTTGGGAACACAATACCTGATGGAATGTCTCTCCCAACAGCCATCTACCCAGACACTATGATCAAGATCTGGGGCCTGTCTCCAAATCCCACCTCTGAGGGAGGTTCAGTTGGTGGCAACAAGGAGAAGGGCCTTTTTAGTGCTGGCTCCCTAGTTATGGAACATGTCCCCTATTGAGGTTTGCCTGATGCTGACCTTACTATCTTTTCAGCACCAGGTTAAATATGTCTTCTACTCCAGGGCATTTAATTAGTTTACTAGCACTTTGTTAGCTGTTTAATCAGGTTCCAAGATTTACCTTATTTAGTTATTTGATTTTTTATGTGTGTTTTAAATTCTGTATGGCAACCTTTTAATGATGTTTTGTTATGTGGCATATGTTAGACTGTATTTTAATGGAGTGCTGTAAACCACTCAGAAAGCTTCAGCTACTGGGCAGTGCAGAAGTTAAATATTCTCTTACAGCTTTAGAACCTATTATCTTTAATGTACCATACAGGCCCTTCAACAGGAGAGCAATCATCTTGCAAAAGACTAAATGCTAGCCATCACAATTATAATCAGAAGAGGGTCTCAAAGCCTCAGCTATACTTTTTGTGGGGCAGGATTCGTAATTGTGAACTATTGTTTAAGGGGGAAAGATATCACCAATTTTTGCAAGATATCTTCATTTTCCCTTATTTTCCCATCCTTTCTTCCTGCCACTCTTCCTTTTAAATCATTCTCTCTAATCATTCTCATTCACTCTTCTTTTTCAAATGTTTATCTTTTAATTGTTTGGTGAGGTGTTCACACTTTGGGGATGGAGGGGTTGTACCGGTTTCTTGTGCAGTTGAAAAGCTCCTCAAAATGAAACCTGCTTCTCTGGACATTTGAATCAAGAAAAGTTTGTAGAAGACTGTATCTGATGTTCTGAATAATAATTCTTTAAATAAAAATTGCTAAGCTGGAGGTCCATCTCATCCTATGTGGTATGGTGGGGGCAGAGTGGTGGGCTGCAAGATCCAGGTTCTAGTCCTCACTCACCCCTGTAGCTCACTGGGTGACTCTGGACTAGTCATTCATTCTCAGCCAAACCCACCTCACAGAGTAGTTGTGAGGGCAAAAACAGAGCTATGTCAACTTCACTGGGTTTCTCACAAGAAGAAAAAAGGTGGGATGTAAATGCAAAGATCTTATCTACTCTATCCTTTACAAACAGCAAACATTTAAATCATTACCTTTTGGAGTAATCTTCTGTCTACTGCTAGGACCTGAAGATTGCAGCACCTAATTAAAAATAAAAGCAGCAATATCTCTACAGTATACAACTAGGAAAATTAAAACTCCTCACAGCCCCTCTGCCAGTAATTCTGAAGCAGAGAAGATTAATGTTGTTATGCTAAAAAAGCTATCTTTTTTTCACTGGCTCAGCTGGGCAGTGGGGAAAAGTGGGCAGGGCTCCAGGGGTTGTATACAGCCTGAGGGGTGCTCACATGTCCCCTGAGGGCTGCTGGGGTGATACATTCACTCCCTAGTCTTTAGAAGTTCCTGCTGCCTAGATGGTACACACTAACCCAGTGGAAATGTTGACTTCTCTGAATATTTCAATTGTCTCTGAAACTCCCTTCAATTTCAAAATTCATTTGGTATGTAGCATCAGGGCTACTCTATGAGAGAAAATAGGTTCTTGAGGATAAAGGTACAAGGTCAGTACTGCTCTGGATCCTAACACTATTAAGTCTTTGCAATTGCGACAATAGTGTTCCATAGCAAAGCAACATTCTAGCCAAATAGAATATACAGCTGAATGCTTACATTCCCAGTGCTTGTGTCAGCTTCAGAAGCTTGAGCTGAAAGGGAAAAAATCCACTGAGTTTAATGAAATATTCAAGTATATTTTCCATAGAGATGCAGCATTGCACTTACCCTGCGGTGTCATTATCGCAACAGGATATTTACGAGGTCTTCCTCGTTTCCGTTTAACTATTACTTGCTGGTTTACCTAAAGAACAAAAAGAAGGCAATTTATTTTTAAGCCAAGTGAAAATGACCACTAACGCAACTATACTGAGAACTAAGAGCCTTCTGGCACATGAAAGGACTGTTTTAGATTTATATTCCACTTTTTTCCCCTTGCAATGAATTCAAATTGGCTAACATCGTTCTCCTCGTGCTGCTCTATTAATCCAACAACAACCCTGTGAGGTAGGCTGGGCAGAGCTCCATGGTTGAGTCACCCAGTTGGCTCCATGGTTGAGTGGGGATTAGAACCCACCCTGTGGGTTCCCATGCTCTTAACCACTGCACCACACTGGTTTTCAGCTCTCACTGGCTGGTGTGTGTGAAGCTTTTTTTACATTAGTGCCCATGGAAATGTATTCTGCAAGAAATCTGCCTTGTGGGATTCCTACAGACTGTTTTGGAGGAAGGGATTGTAATGGACTCAATGCAACTACCTCTCTGGGTGCTGTATTCTTTATTATAGTCCTTTGATAGTTATATAATTTGGAAAAATATGTTAGTTAATATATAATTTTTCCAAACAACCCCAACCAATAGGGATCTTGGTTGATGCAGATCAAGCCAACCACTTTTAAGTTCCATGAACTCTTATTTCATTGGAAAGGTAACAGTGTACTTAACTTACCTCCCATCCCTTAATATGAATAGAACTGAAGTGAAAACTGTTGTTGAAGTGGATCATTTGCCCATATAAAGAGGGTCTTAAAGCATTCACTCTGTCCATTCTGTCTTAACTGTTGCTCCCTCCTTGTGGCTCTCTCCAAAAAAGCCATGTGATGCCACCTCACACAGTCCTCACTTTCAAATGCTTAACCGTTTAGGTCCTCACCCCAATGAAAAATGACACACTGAAACTGCTGCCAAGTTTTGGCAAAATAAAAGCTTTGTTTTCCCTTTAAAGTAAGACATGTATACATGCCTTGTTTAAGCATAGATACATTTAAAAAAAACCAACATAACTGCAGCACAGAAGTACAGTGGTGATGATTTCAGGGCGGCAGCAGGCCACAAAAAAGTACATGGGGTGCCTGCTTGTTACCTGCCCTTGGCCCTACAGTTCTCTCTGCTGTGCTGTTATAATTTAAATGTAAGCTCCACATAGCAGAAGGAGCCTGTCTTTTAACGGGTTATTGTGTAATGCCCAGCCAACATTAAGAACACTGCATCCTTTTGATGTCAACAGAGAAATGGTCTACTGAATTTAAAATAGTTAACATTGTCTGCATTGCACACATTATATTTAATACATATAATACCTCTGCAGTGATTAGGGTAATGTGCCATAAAACTACTACTCCTGTGACATATCTAAAACTTGTTCATGAATTCTGAATTTGTCTTCAGCTTTTTAAACTTTCAGTTGGAGACAAAACTGCTCAAGACTGAATCACTGGAATAGCCTTTGAAGTGTGACTCTTTCATTACTTGGAAAAATTCTACTGCATTGTTTTCATTGTCATTTCTGTATTGGTGAAATAATTCACCATCATTGCAGTCAAAAAAGCACAAGCAAATAATCATTTGGACCATATGAAAGCACATTTGAAATAGCAATGCATTAGAGTAGACCAGGTTACTTGCCTCAACAGGATTTAAACTGGATGCCAGACCTGGCTTTTCACAAATATCCACTTTGCCAACATTCTCATCTGTAGGAATAAAATGTTCAAAAAACCAAAACCAAATTAAAGCCCTATTATCATTTTTAAGCAACTGTATAAACTGGCCATTTCCAATGCGGTTTTCACAATACACCCTATCATTTTTACTCCTGTGACAACTTAAATCAGGGCGGTCCAACTTTCTGTACCTTGAGGGCTGCATGAGGACTTTGACAAAGAACCTTGGGGCTGCACAATGAATTAAGTGACTATATCATAAATTAAAGTGTTTGCAATATATTTATTTAAGTTAATATATACAATTAATATATTCACTTAACCATTAAATGAAGGATAATTAATTTAAAGATGATTTTAGAACTAACTGAATTCTCCCTCTCTGATCACAGTCCAAACACAACGATTGCTCCTCTGGGGTGGCCCATACCTTTCTTTACTGTTTCTCCTGCTCAGACACTCTCACATGTGACCCCCTACCTGGCCCCCTTTCCTTCTTGGTGCACTGAGCTACTGCACCTGTCAGCTGGAGCAGCACAGGGCATGCTTAGCCTCAGGAAGAGAGTGGGCCTTGGGAGAGCTCACTGCAGTTGTGCCTATGCCATTACCGAGAGTCAGACTGAGGAGGCAGGAATGGAGCGGGGAGGGTTCCCAGCAGCAAGAGGGCTACAGAACAATGTGTCAGGGACGACATGCAGCCTACGGGCCACGTGTTGGACCACTCTGACTTAGATAAACATAAGCTAATGTAATGTTTCTATAATTTGTCCTATATTTTGCTGTATCACAGACTTAAACAACATTCCTTTTCTAAGAAACAGAAATGGAATATTAAATGAACACAAATTAGCACCATGCTTTTAAATGATAGGTATGCCAGAGAACGGAAGACTCACTTATCTAGGAGTAGTAGCTTTACTTGTTCGCTAGACTGTGGCCCAGACTGATGATCTATTTACTATCCACCAGAGACAAGTTCTTTAGAAAAATGCTTTGGCCAGTACTGGACTAAGAGGCACCTTTCCCTCTCTACAAGGCCTTCTGGCTGAGAACACCAAGAATCATACTGTTCAAAGAGTTATGTCAGTAGTAAGTAACCCACAAGGAGAAGGGCTTCCCAGTCTACCCCTTGATCAAGTATTTCTTCTAAAGAACATGCCTCCTTTGACCCAGAGAAAACTACCTAATGCCTGATTCACTGGACAGAAAAAGGAAGGAGAAATAATTTTCAAGGGTGCCTAAAGAGATCTAAAAAGCATACAAAACAGAGGTGGCAGACTCATTTTCAGGGCTTCATCTGTCAATAATGGTATGCTTAGAGGAAGAAACAGTATATTGCTTGTTTCCAACTTGCTCAAAAGGTACCCCTAAATTAAGCCTGAGCATTTAAGCCATTTGTTTGTAAGGTTAATCCCATGTTAAAACAATAAATAGTTTACCAATCTTAATCCCACATTAAAACAACTTTCTATTTGTTTATTCACTTTAAAATACATTATTTGGCTTTTTTAAAATTACAGATGCATGCAGATAAATATTAATTCATTTTCAGTGGGACATGACCAGAACTAGTTGCTGAAAAATGGCAGCCCTTTCTGGAGACTTCAAAATAGTGAATTTGACATCACCTTTTTCTTCTACAGCTTTTGATGAAGGTTTCTCAGACTTAGGGCCATCGTCAGGCATTTCTTTTGTGTCTCCAGCAGTTGCTTCCTAAGTAATTGTAAAAAAAAAAAAGGTTCAGATTACTGTAGTAGCAACAGACATCAACTACTGAGATTTTAAAACATGCTTGTTATCACTACATATAGAACAAATGTTTTGAAACAAAACCCATTCTTGCAATTTCTTATTAGCTTAGATGATAAGCTTCCCAAGCTAACACACAACCAAGACACACTTGAGATGAACACGCAAAGGGAGTGCAGAGTGCAAAGAGAGAATTAGACAGCTGAGAGCAGAACCCAGAGGAACATTCAGAGATAGAAAAGGGTAAGGTGCTACAAACAGGGAGAAGACCTGAGAAGACTGAGGACCAAGAGAGTAAAATAATCTATAAGATTACTGAGTGTAAAAGTTTTTTACTACAACAAACTGATGCTCCAGGATAATTCTGCATGCCCAGCATTTGATGGGGCGATTAACTATAACATTCAGCAGTATCTCACGGATAGGAGACGGGAAGTGGGTCTACATTCCTCTCTACCATCAAAAGCAAGGAAGGGCAGCAGTGGGCAAGGCCACACTCTGAACTGCAGTCAAGTGTAAGGTAAAGGTAAAGGTCAAGTCCAGTCATGCCTGACTCTAGGGGGCGGTGCTCATCTCCGTTTCCTAGCCGAGGGAGCCAGCATTTGTCCGCAGACAGTCTCCGTGGTCATGTGGCTGGCATGACTAAACACCGAGGTACACTGAATGCTGTTACCTTCCCACCAAAGTGGCATCTATTTATCTACTTGCATTTATATGCTTTCGAAAGGCAAGGTTGGCAGGAGCTGGGACAGAGCACAGGCGCTCACCCTGTCTACGGACTTGAACTGTTGACCTTTCAATCAACCAGCCCAGCAGCTCAGCAGTTTAAACCACTGTGCCACCTGCAGTCAGGTAAAGGAAAAAGCTAAAATAGGTTTATCCACCAACATATCACTTTTCCCTTCAAGTATGTCTCCGTTGAATGTGCTATGCCAGAGATGAGACAGGCTGACAAATCAATGTTTCCTCCATGTACATCAAACCAATGCTGGCATCACAGTGAGGAAAAATGAGCGCACATGCTTGATTAATCCCACTTGCATCAGTTCTCAGTAATACATGTCAGGCCAGTGACTGATCTAGGTTCAAATTCTGGGTATTTCAGTAGCAGTGCTAGCAGGCCTGAAGGGCGTGTCTGATGTACAGATAAGCCTTTTTTGATATGCAAACTAGGGTAAGATTCCCTAGAACTAGGGTAAGTACCAGACAGGAGAATAACAGAAGGTTGTTCAGATCTCCTTCGCCTTATCTGGCATATCAACACTTTCACCATCTCTCCCCACTATACATAATCTGTGCTGCCAACACCTTTCTCAACCATATAATCAGTGACACAACACTTCAGTATATCGTTCAATGGACATTACTCATACTCAGAATTTAGAATAACTGAATTTTAAGTGGCAGCCTTTCAGACCTGAACCCTCCACAATTAAATATTGATGTTAAATCTCACAATACATTTACAATAAAGCAGTTGACTCAAGCTATTTTCTAGAACAGACCTGGAGTCCACTTTTAGTCCATACATATATTTGGGGACCCATTTCTTAATTTTTAAAATCATATATTTGAATCGTGGTAATTGATTGTGTTAAAACCCATTTTAAATCAGGCTGTGACTTAGTAGTAAGACTTGACCCACCAGTTAAGGATCAGTGTGATGGAGCACTTTCATTTCAATGCAAGTTAGAGCCGTGATTCATGTATGTTTTATGTGATAATAACTGATAACATTTTTATAAGAAGGACCAGTAACTAGAATAGTAAAGTTGGAAGGGACAGGAAGGTCCAACTCCTTACTCAATGCAGGATTCCAAGGCAAAGCATCCCTAACAGATGACTGTCCAGCTGCATAGTGAATGCCTCGCCTGTGGGAGAGTCCATGACTTCCCTATGTAATTGGTTCTACTGATGCATTTCTCTAACAGTGAGGAAGTTCTTCAGTCAGAATCTGACTTCCTCTAACTTGAGCCTTTATTGAGTCCTGCTTCCTGAGATGATCAAGAAGAGATTCTGACCTTCCTCTGTATGACAACCTTTCAAGTACGTGAAGAGTGATATCATATGTCTCCTCAATCTTCTCTTCTTGAAACTAATTCTTTCAGTCTCTCCTCACAGGGCATAGTCCCCTGGTCATCTTTTTTGCCTTCCTCTGAACCTTTTCCAGCTTGCCTGCATTTTTCTTAAGCTGTGGTGCCCAGAATTGGTTACAGTATCCAGAATGAGGCTTAAGTTGATGGAAACCAATAGTATGTATGATTTGGAAGTGAGGCTTCTATTAATGCAGCCCAGAATAGCATTTGCCTTTTTGTAACCACATCACACTGTTGACTATATTCAGCTTGTGATCTACAACAATTCTGAGATCCTTCTAATTGGTAATACTGTTGATCCAAGTACAACCCTTCTTGCAATTATGCATTTGGTTTCTTATCCCTAGGTACAGAACTTGGCATTTGTCCTTGTCCAAGCCCAGTGCTCCAGTCCATCAAAATCACCTTACATTTTGTTTCTGTCTTCCAAGGTGTTAACTATCCCGAACAATTTTGTGTCATCTGAAAATCTGGTAAGTGCTCCCTGTTCCTCCTCAACAAAATCATAAAAAATGGTGAAGAGCACTGGCCCAGGATGGCATCTTTTGATACCCTACTTGTAACTTCTCCCCAGATTGAGAAAGTGACACTGATAAGCACTCTGAGTCCAATTCTGTAGTCAACTGTGGATACACTGAATAGTTGATCTAGCCCACCTTTAGCTAATTTACTAATCAGAATATCATGGGACACTTTATCAAAAACTTTGCTGAAGTCAAGATATTTTATGTCCACAGCATTCTCAGAGACCACTATGGAGGTAACTTGATCAAAAACTGAGATCAGATTAGTTTGGCAGGATTTGTTCTTAACAAATTCATGTTGGCTTCTAGTAATCATTGCATTGTTTTCAAGGTGTTTGCAGATTGACTGTTTTATAATATGCTCTAGAATTTTCCCAGCTTCCTTCTTGTTAGCCTTTTTGAGGATAGAGAGGAACAGTATTAGTTCTCCATCAGTCATCTGGCACTTCATCATCTTCCATGATTTCTTAAAGAGAACTGACAATGGTTCCGAGAGCTCTACCTTCGTTTTTAAATAATGAACACCTGCTGTGACCAGTACCACCTGCCCTTCTCCCTTACTGAGAAACTAACTGTATATTACAATGCAGGCCACATAAAATTGAGTGGTACCCTTGCCCTCAGTTGATCTAAAGGTTGAGCTCCCTTGGCATCACCCTTTTCTGAATTGTCCACAATGCAAGGGCCCCAGCATTCACTTAATTACTACTCTCCCCAAAAGTTCCCTGCTGTGCTTCGTCCAGCAACAACAGGTATTATGACTCTACATCTCAACAGTCATTACTTGTGGGTCATATTTTAAAATATAGTACTTATTGTACACAATGCCTGCAATTTGGAGGGTGAGGATCTAGGGCAAATCCAAAAATAACTCTGCGAGTATATATAAAAATCCTAATCCTAATAATATGACATCTGAATATCATGGGGCAAAGCAGGGAACACAAGCTGCCTTTAGAGAATTAGGACAAGACATGACCCACTCAAGATTGTCTGGCTTGCATTACCAATACAAGCAATCATTCAGTCACACGAGGAACATGACAGAAGCTTAGTTAAAGCCCTCCAAAGTTTTGCTATATATAAAAATGTCCACTGAGGACTAATTAATTAGCTTTGTAAGATTTCTGAATCAGCTCCACACATGCATGCACAGCCCATATGTGTGATGCAGAGACCTCAAAGGAGATCGTGTAATAGCTTAAAAAAAAAGAACAAACCACTGTGTAGTAATGCATAGATACAGTAAACTGGTAGTCTTACTGGCTCCACTTCATACACTGTTTTTACAGTTTTAGTTACGTTTTAAAAAATTGTTCTTTCCCCATCCACACACACACACACACACTTCAGGCTGTCAATAAGGCACATATGCAGACAAGCCAAATAGTAACTGTTTTGTGAGCTAGTTTTTTTTGTGTGCATTTGTTTGTAAGGATGTACTGGACCATACAATTTTATATAAATTCTAAATTGGACCAGAATAGGTTGACTCTTCTTGAGTGTTATGGATACAAAATTAGTCCATCCCAATCAAAATGGCTTATGGAAAAATACAAAGAATTCTAAAATCAAACTATGTAAACTAAATACATGAATGGCAAAACCACCCGGCCATTAGCAAGTACCACATATGTGTGCCAAACATACATATGTGTGCCAAACATTCCTTCTACACCAATGTATTTTAGAAAGTCACACAGTTGACAACAGATTAACAATACCGCATTAATTTCTGTTGTAGCTTCAAAATAATGGCTCCGTTCAGTTTCCTCTTCCAAAATTTGGCACACCAGACCAACATCTGCAAAATAATATTAACATTTTTCTGAAATGTGTTTCAAAGACTTAGAGGCAAGAGTGCTGTAACCTGGTACAGAACTTTATATGTACCAGATTACAACACTCTGGGAACCCTCTGTGAAAGATGTTAGGAGACAGAGTACCCGAAGGAGGGCCTTCTCTGCGGTGGCGCCCCATCTATGGAATGCGCTCCCCAGAGAGGTCCGCCTGGCACTGTCATTATATGTTTTTTGGCCAGGTTAAGACCTTTTTATTTAATCAACATTTTAATAAGTTTTAATATTGTATTATTTACCATTATATTTTAACCGCAGTCAGAGTGGGTCAATAATTTAATTTATTTATGTTTTGTGGTATTTGTATTTTATCTTTGTAAGCTGTCCTGAGGCTTTTGCAAAGGATGGCATATAACTATCCTAAATGATATATATATATATCTCAGATTTGCCTGCAAGCCAAATCATGCAAATCTAGTCAAATGTTCTCTACCAGAGAGTAATGTGGCACAATAAGAGCAATTTGTCAGCTACCTGATTTATGCTCTTCATTATCAGGGTGTCTTTCTGTTTCCAGCTTGTCATTCTCTTTCTTCTGATAAGGTATTTCTACCTAGAAGTAGAGGAAAGGGAAAATGCATTCTATTTATTTATGAGAGCTGAACAGGGCATCCATGCATAGGGTTGCCATAAGTCAGAGGTAACTTGATGGCACCTAACAGCGATAAATGTTTGACTATCTGCTTCTTGGAATCTAATATAAGGTCAATGCAAATAGATTTTTCCACACTATTAAAACAGCTATAAGCCTGATTACAACACTGAAAGGATAACCAACCACCCCTGATAATGCAATGAAGATCTATTGACATGTTCAACTTTTGAATGGGTGGCATTTAGAGACCACCTGTGCATCATATAGAAATATTTGGCTGATCCCTATAGAAACTTGTAACTATTTCTATTGATAGCAGTGTATTTCCTTAGATGTATAAACTTATATAAACAAACTTATATATATGTTTATATAAATAAACATATTTATATAAGTTTTTATTGCAAGTGATATACTTATCCTTTACGCAGGAGACTTTTCTTTCTCCTTTGTAATTTGTTTTGGTTTTGTTGCAACCCTTTGAAATTCAGAATAACAAATAAAAAGGAAAAGAAAAAGGAGAAAAGCTTTGACTTTCTGAATCACACTGAAGTTCAACTAGACCGGTATTCTGTTCCAAACAGCAGCTGGTCTCACAAGAATCAAAGCAGATCATAAACCCACCCCTCCACTGTTCTGTCCCTGGTATCTACTGTTCAGTAAGATACTATTTCTGAGCAAGGAGGCTTCATTAATATGCTGTTGTTCCAACTAATTCTATATGAATGTGTGATCCTTCTTGAAAAGATTGCCAGTCTATTAAACATGCATCTGAAAATCTTATCTACAGTTCATTTTAACTACTGAGTCTGGAGGCCTGTTACAGGGAAAGACAGTTTAAAGAAAAAAATGTTTTGTTCAGTAGAGAGAAGTATAAAACAAGGAAAAGGAACACAAACCTCTAATGCTTTTTCATCAGGAACTTGATCATCTACTGCTTCGACTAGGGCTGAAGTACCCGAAATTTCAGGAGCTAATACACAAAAGCAGAAAAATAAGGATTATCAATAATAACATATCCCTTACACTTAATAGTGCTTCTCATGCATTATTTCGAATTTTCCAAGAACCCTGAAAGGTAAGTGCTAATTTTATATTATGCATGTGTGACTGAAAATATTGTTTAATCTAAGACCACCTAATGAGATCACAGCAGACCTGAGATATGAAGTGGTGATATCCTGATTTAAGTTCCTAAGCACAATGTTACACAACCTCAGTAATCAAGATGGATTGCCAACAATTATCACAAAATACTGCTGGAACAGTGTAAATGAACTTTGGTTGATTTGTAGATAGCATTTGCTCAGTACCGAGGATTAAGTATCTAAATCCCTGCAGCTACACTCAGAGATGAAACAGATGGTGGAAAAACAGATGTGCAAATGGATCTGGCAAGCATGTCACCTCTGGATTGCAAATAATAGATCTGGAATGGGGGAATGGTACAAGAGTTGTTGGGAAAGTATTTACCCTGCCCTTTTATTTATAGACATTTTTTTCGCTTCCCCATCAGCTCTGGAATGCCCTCACTAACAATTTAGAAATAAATTCTACTATAATTTTGGGGATCATCTCTCTTAGAGGAAACTGCTCTAGCAGAACACAGATTCAATATATACATCAACTTTTTGTTCTCAAGAAAAAAGCAGAATCTGTTGTTTTCTTGCATTTTATTTATAATTTTGTAGAAAAAAAGATCTGTAAATGGAGAAGCAACATCACCAATTTAGTTGAGCCCTTCACTAGGATCTCTAGCACTAGTTCCAAATGTTTCTGGTTGTGGCATACTATGGCAGAGGCTACCAAATATGTTACTTCTCTATTATCATTTGTCATAAAAAGAAATCTTTGAGATACTCTGTGTATGCACATGGAAATGTCACTGTGTGTGGGGAACGTACTACAGTTTGTGTGTAAGGAAAGTCCCTTAGCTTGCCTCCCCCTCACTGCCATTCTTCTTTACAACACTGCCTCCTCATGCTAACTTGGATCTCAGGTAGTGACAACAGATGGGTTGTTTAACACAAAGACTGTAGGCAGTGAGTGAACTGCTTCCTACATGCTTGCCATTTCCACTTTATTTCTGCTGTCTGCCCCTCTGGGTTCATACATCACAATTAACAACCCAAAAATGACATGGAGGCAGACAGAAAATAGTGAGGTCTCTGTCTCCTATGCAGCACTGACTTAAAATGGGTCGTTTGACCCATAGGGTTGTGCTGTGTGAATCAGGACATTGGTTCACTCTCCAGGAACTACAAGACAATATACGGCTCTTTAAACTTGTTCTGCTCAGCAGCAAAGAGCCTTCCCTGCATTATGCACCTCAGTTGCTGCTGCCCAGGCACAAGCAGACATGGAGGCCCATAGGGTGCGGGGAGGACCCTACTAAGCACCAGAAAAGTAGTCTGAAATTCCCAGATGTTTATTCCAAGTTCAAATGTTTAAAAATCCCATTTATTGGAGCTTCCCACTGTAAACTTAGAATATGACTAACTACTGGTATTAGCCCAACCCTTCCTTGTGAACAGAATGCTCATTAAAAAGTCATTTAAAACGCACACATGCTTTCTTTTATTGTTACTACTTTCGGATACAAGAGATAATCTTTCGGTTTTTAAAATATACTGTCAAGTATACAACCAGCACAGCAACAGGTTATTTACATTCCTTGAAATCTTGGACTATGAAACTCCCTGTCTGCTGTGCATACTCAGCTCTGACAGAAGACATGAGTCTCTTTTAAACAACTTCCTTTTACCTAGGTTGAATCATATCAAACAAAGAAAAGCGGGTATTCTAAAAATGTCTCTGTAATGGGAAATGGATTACTAATTTAAGACTTGCCATGTCTAACAGCATTTATATTATCACAATATGTATTCCATTGTAAATATCTGGCATTGTGAAAGAGCAATTTAGCTATTCTTTTTGGGAAAAAACATAAAATTTGAGCCAAGAATCACCTAATTAAAATGCGATTAAGCTCAACTCACTCACAGGGCAAAGAGAGTAGCCAAGACACCCAAAGGGGGTAATTGAGGTACTGAGAATGGGAGGGAGATGCTGTTGTTGGGAATAGGGACGAGACAGCTTAACTGTCTTTCACAAATGCCACTGCTTATAGCTCAGGGGATGGAGGAGAGTAGCTAGCTTTTTTCTTTTATTGTTTTCTACCGAGATATGTTACATATAGCTAAAATGTGGGGGGCTCAATGAAGTGTGGATGTCAATCCCTTATTCTAAGTGCTTCTGTGCTCCTGCTTTTTCAGCCACATTTTTTTATTTTGGTACATTTAAGACTACGGAGATGTAGACACTGTGGGTTATTTGTTTTATGAAGTTCTATGTTAAACATGATACATGCAGTCCTACTGACCGATAGCTAAGATCTTGTCCTACATGAGTGAATTACCATCATTAGAAACCTGGATTCACCTTTAGAAATCTCTTCTGGCTGACTGTCTTCAAAGAGATTTTCCTTTGCTGGACTTTGCAGATCCTATCAGTAAACAGTAAAAGAAAAATGTTTCAGAAATACTAATATCAAAATCTCTGGACATCTTGCTTCCAAGTTGATTTAAAAAAAATATGTCATGAAATAAGCTGCAGTAATACTACAGAAAAATGAGTGTGTGTAGAATGGCAGACTAATAGAGCTCTGCAGTCACTAATAAAGGTATTGAAGTGTAACATACATGCAATACTGTGAACACCTGAAGCTACTGACATCTGATTGTTGTCATAACAGGCTATCATACTGTAAGCCTACATTTTCTCTAAGTGATATTCAAAACTGCTTGAGTGGACTCCCACTCTGCAATGAAACTTTCCCTTCTTCCTCTCCTCTTACAGTCCCTCCCTCTACATCTGCTCCAGATGGTCCCCAATTCTCCAGTGCAGATTTCAGAGTTTGGGACTGCATGAAGGAGGGGGAAACAATTCTGCCAATGGATACAGATCCATCAAAGGAAGACACTAGTTAGATAACACCACCCTCTGAAAATATTCAGTGTGTTAAAATTATCCAGTGCTTACCCTTCTGCACAAAATGATTTCACAGGTAAGGGAATATATGTAAAGAGGATTAAAGATCTGTAATATTAATAAAATTTGGTATAGATTACCTACGTGTGAGGAATCATATTCTGACCACATTATAGATCAATCTGATAAACAGGTGAAACAGTGTTTGTTTGTTTTAAGTCAATTGCTTACCTGTAATGGCCAGTCTTCAAGTGGTTATCTGTGTGTTCACACATATGGACTCTGTACCTGTGTGGAGCCTGCTGCTGGGAAGATTCTAAAGCTAAGCATTCAATTAAGCTAAGCATGGGAGCTCCTCTCATGGATGCAGGGAACAGAAAGGGGAGGGGGTCCTGCCCATTCTCTCAGTTCTATTGAGACCGCATCTAGGTCCTAGGAGGAAGATTGAGGGAGGAGGGTTGTACTGCCCCCATCTGCCCCTGTGCTTCCTGCAGAAGGGGGCCAGCTGTCTTCAGTTTGACACCAAGTGGAGCCATTGGGCGGGCTGTGTGAATGTATTTTCCCCTTTGATACCGATGCTGCCAGGCCCAGATCTTCAACTGGTACCAGGTGCTCATGCTGCTCTGGGGTCGCACCCAAGTGCTCTCCTGGGGTCAATCTGGCCTTCGGGTGTCGATGGTCAGTGTGGGTTCCTTCTCATGAATGAAACATCTCTCAGGTCTAAGTGCTCTCTCAGGACCAACCAGGCCGTTAGTGTCGATGGCTGACAGGAGCACTCATGGCTTCTGTGCTTCTGCTTGCGGGTGCTGGCCATCTGTTTTGCGCACGTGGCTGCTTTCCTGACCACGTGCTCCTGTGTGAAGAGGTCGAGCATTTGGAGCACATGGCTTCCAAGGCCCTGGCCCTCAGTCAATTGGCCCTATGTTTCCAGGCCTGTTTTGTGAAGGCCTAGTAATAGGGGCACAAGCTGATGATCTGTCCCTCCACCAAGAAGACGGAGGGAGTTTCTGACTATGGGGGTGGGGATGACTCCCACCATGGATACACTTCCTAAGGGTGCCTTTGATACGTTCATGGTAGATGGGGAAGACAGAGAAAGGAGGAGGAACTGGTAGAAGGGTGCAGAAGATCACAGAGAAAGTGGATTTTACAAGTAAAGAGTGAAAATGAAGTTCATGGAAAAATGGGTAAAAAGGAGGCTGAGTAGGGAGCCAAGGAAGAAAAAATAGTAGAGAGGAAAAGGTAATAAATGCTGGAAACATATTCAAGTTGAGGAGAGAAATGCTTCCTAATCTAATCTAAGCATGGAGGTGGTTGAAAAGGAACTGAAGGAATGGGCAGGAACCCCTCCCACCAATGCAGAGAACAGGGAGGGAACTATCCGTAAGAGTAGACTCTTCCCAACAACAGGCTCCATGTAGATGCCCAAACCCATATGTGCAATGTACAGAGACCATGAAAAAGAACTTAGTCTTGTCTTTTTTCCTGCTATTTCTAACCATTTTTATCCAGCCATTTTATCCTGACGGCTGGGCAAAACATTTTAAATATTTTCATCCTTGGTCCTTTAACTGCAAACAAAAATTGGAGGAATAACAAAGTTGTGCTCCTTTTGTTTTGATAACAAAAATATGTTGAGTATTTATCAAGTTATGATTTGAATCCTCAGTACAAATCAACACATTTTAATTAGGCTTCAATGCTTGCCCAGAGCCCAATTTGGCTTTCCAAGGTATAGTCTTTTGCTTTGGAAGTCACCAGCAGGCTGTTTGGCAAGCAAGAAGTTTGGGGAAGCTCTGAGTTGGATCCAAATCTTGCACAGCAGGACCTCATCATCCCCTTGCATGCTGCAAATCCACTTCAGAGGATCCCCTAACCAAGCAGGCCAGAGTTGTGCACACAGGAGAAAGGGTAACACAAGTCACCAGCAATATAATGAACTAAATCTAGTCTACAAACAACATTCAGGCAGTGGTGAAGGGATTTTCAAATAGGAACAGAAAGAAGCATTACTTCCACCTTTGACCTGTGATATTAACAGAGGACTTCATTTCAACAATGGTAGTCTAAGCTTTCTCTCTCAACATCTCTCTCTCTCTCTACCCTCTTCTGTTCATTTCCTTCCAAAGAGCAAAGACAATTAGAACAAAAGACAGCAGGGATACAGAGATATATGCCTACCTACCACTCTCCTTTTGGTACAACTCTCCTCTCCTAGTTAGCAGTTCCTGCTTGCCTGCCAAATGATCAGTAGCATTCTGAAGCCTTCAGGGCAGTCATCACTATGGCCTTTTGTTGACCTGCCACTTTCAGCCAAATAGCTCTTTTCCAGCCAACTCACCATTCCATACTTACTGGGCATACTCACATACCATACTCTTTTTGGGATTCCTCTAAGGGTTTTTCCTCAAAGCACCCTCACTCCCCCCCCCCCCCAGCTTTGCAAATCTCAAAAATACCTGCAAATACCTCCCTCTTTAGTGTGGATGATGCCATTTTGGCAACAGAAGGATTGAGAGTAATTCCTCCTGAAAGTGTTACAAGAGGAAGCAATAGCCTGAGCCATTTTATTTTACCTCTGCTGAAACATTTTGGTGTTTGAAGTGGAAAATCCATATTACCCCACTCCCCACTGCTTTAGCAAGCTTGTGGCATCCTTAAAACCTTTAACCAAAGTGAGTTTTATAGTGATCTGATCCACAGAGCACAATCCATCAAGAGGCTATTGAGGGTCAACTTTACTGAAATGAATGGAAGATGTCCAAGAACACTACTGTGCAGCTCTTGTTCATTCTACTCCATGAGATGTAACTTCTCAGTGTCTTGTGCCCCATGGGAGAAATACAACTGATGTATAACTTGAGATTTTATTAACATTTACATACAGTCTAATCTGCTAAAAAGCCATTGAAGAAGCTTACAAAAATTAAAAAAAACAATAAAACAAGAGTTTAAAAACAGTAAGTAAAACATCAAAACACCACCCTCACAGGTTTTAAAAGGTTAAATTAAAAAGATGAATCTTCATAACTGTTCTAAAAGTTATGAGTCAGTTATAGTGGGTCAGTCATAGTACTTCAGGGAGCAGATTCCAGTCTGAGAACACAGGAGAAAGCCCTTTTGGACATGTCTGCTGTTTGTGGGTAACAGTGCTCTCAAAAGGGTCCTTCTTGCAGATCTCAATACATGAGTAGGTATGCAGAGAGACAGAGTCATAAGCTAGTTAGAACCTTAAAGCTTAAAACTAACACTTTGAACTCTGCCTAAAAGTGAACTCGCAGCCAGGGCAAGTATTTCAAGACAGGGGTAGTACAGTTCTGCAACTGTGCACCAGTTAGAAGCCTAGCTGCCACATTTTACATCAGCTGAAGCTTCTGGCCACTCTTCTAGTGTACTGAGCATTGTTGTTAGATGCGAAGTTGCGTCCAACCTATTGTGACCCTATGGACAACATTCCTCCAGGCCTTCCTGTCCTCCACCATCCCCTGGAGTCCACTTAAGCTCACACAAATTGCTTCAGTGACTCCATCTAGTCACCTCATCCTCTGATGTCCCCTTCTTCTTTTGCTGTCAATTGTTCCCAGCATTAGACTCTTCTCCAGGGAGTCCTTCCTTCTCATTAGGTGGCCAAAATATTTGAGTTTCATCTTCAGTATCTGGCCTTCTAAAGAGCTGTCAGGATTGATCTCCTGTAAGACTGACTGGTTTGATCTTCTTGCAGTTCAAGGGACTCAAAGAAGTCTTCTCCAGCACCACAATTCAAAGGCCTCAATGGCATCTGCCTTCCTGATGGTCCAGCTTTCCAGCTATACATTGCAACTGGGAAAACCATAGCCTTGACTATATGCACTTCCATTGCCAGGGTGATGTCTCTGCTTTTTAGTATGCTGTCTAGATTTGCCATGGCTTTCCTCCCAAGGAGCAAGTGTCTTCATTTCTTGGCTGCAGTCCCCATCTGCGGTGATCTTGGAGCCCAAGAAATTAAAATCTGTCACTACCTCCATTTCTTCCCCATCTATTTGCCAGGAAGTGATAGGACCAGATGCCATGAGCTTAGTTTTCTTAATGTTGAGTTTCAAGCCAACTTTTGTGCTCTCCTCTTTCACCCACATCAAGAGGCTCTTTAGTTCCTCTTCACTTTCTGCCATGAGAGTGGTATCCTCTGCATATTTGAGGTTGTTATTTCTCCTGGCGATCTTAATTCTGACTTGTGATTCATCTAGCCTGGCCTTTCACATGATGTGCTCTGCATATAAGTTAAACAGGCAGGGCGACAGTATACAGCCTTGCCAAACTCCTTGCTCAATTTTGAACCAATCAGTGGTTCTGTGTCCAGTTCTCACTGTTGCTTCTTGACCTGCATATAGGTTTCTCAAGAGACAAATAAGATGGTCTGGTACTCCCATCTCTTTAAGAACTTGCCACAATTTGTTGTGATCCACACAATCAAAGGCTTTAGCATAGTCAATGAAACAGAAGTAGATGTTTTTCTGGAACTCCCTAGCTTTCTCCATGATTCAGCGTATGTTAGCAATTTGATCTCTAGTTCCTCTGCTTCTTCGAAATCCTGCCTGTACTTCTGGTAGTTCTCGGTCCACATACTGCTGGAGCCTAGCTTGTGGGATTTTGAGCATAACTTTGCCAGCATGTGAAATGAGTGCAATGGTGCGGTAGTTTGAACATTCTTTGGCATTGCCCTTCTATTGTTTTCTTCTATTTCTTTGCACGGTTCATTTAAGAAGGCATTCTTATCTCTTCTAGCTATTCTCTGGAATTCTGCATTCAATTGGGTGTATCGTTCTCTTTCTCCCTTGCCTTTCGCTTCCGTTCTTTCCTCAGCTATTTCTAAAGTTTCCTCAGACAGCCATTTTGCTTTCTTGGATTTCTTTTTCTTTGGGATGGTTTTAGTTGCTACCTCTTGTACAATGTTGCGGAACTACGTTCATAGTTCTTCAGGCACTCTGTCTAACAGGTCTAATTCCTCAAATCTATTTGTCACCTCTACTGTATATTCATCAGGGATATGATTTAGGTCATACCTGAGTGGCCTAGTGCTTTTCCCTACTTTCTTCAATTTAAGCCTACATTTTGCAACAAGAAGCTCATGATCTGAGCCACAGTCAGCTCCTGGTCCTGTTTTTACTGACTGTATAGAGCTTCTGTGCTGATCGTCTGGTGATGTCCATGTGTAGAGTCGTCTTGCTATGACCATTGTATTCTCTTCACAGAATTCTACCAGCCTGTGCCCTGCTTCATTTTGTACTCCAAGGCCAAACTTGCCTGTTATTCTGGTTATCTTCTGGCTTCCTACTTTAGCATTCCATTCCAAAAAAATGATAAGGACATCATTTTTTGGTGTTAATTCTAGAAGGTGTTGTAGGCCTTCACAGAACTGGTCAACTTCAGCCTCTTCAGCATCAATGGTTGGGGCACAGACCTGGACTACTGTGATGCTGAATGGTTTGCCTTGGATTTGAACTGAGATCATTCTGTCATTTTGGAGATGGAAGCCCAGTACTGCTTTTCCAACTCTTTTATTGACTATGAAGGCTACTCCATTTCTTCTGAGGGATTCTTGCCCGCAGTTGTATACCTGATGGTCATCTGAATTAAATTCACCCATTCTGTTCCATTTTAGTTCACTGATTCCTAAGATGTCCATGTTCAGTCTTGTCATCTCTTGTTTGTCCAACTTGCCTTGATTCATAGATCTTACATTCTAGGTTCCTATGGAGTATAAATCTTTACAGCATTAGACTCTCCTTTCACCACCAGATACATCCACAACTGAGTGTCCTTTCGGCTTTGACCCAGTCACTTCATTCTTTCTGGCACTACTAGTACTAGCCCTCTGCTCTTCCCCAGTAGCACATTGGACACCTTCCGAGCTGAGGGGCTCATCTTCTAGCGTCATATCTTTTTGTCTTTTGGTACGGTCCATGGGATTTTCATAGCAAGGATACTAGAGTGGGTTGCCATTTCCTTCTCCAGTGGATCAACTTTTGTCAGAGCACTCTGGTATGACCTGTCCGTCTTGGGTGCTCCTGTACGGCATAGCTCATAGCTTCATTGAGCTACACAAGCCCCTTCGCCATGACAAGGCAGTGATCCTTGAAGGGCTACGGGGCATTGTAGTAGTCCAAATATAATGTAATCAAGGGATGGATAACTGTTGCCAAGTTAGACTAGTGAGAAAATCTCACAGCAGGGGCATCAAGTATAACTATATAAATAATATTCCTTGCCACAACAGCCACCTGAAGAACAAGGACCAGCAGAAGATCCAGGAGCACTCTCAAGCTATGCACCTCATCCTTCAAGAGGAACACAACTCCTATCAGAACAGGATGAACCCAAACCCTGAATCAGGCTTTTTAGTAACTTCTCTGTCTGAATTTAACAGTTTATTCTCTCTCATTAGATGGAGTCGCTGGGGCAGCGGATGTGAGCTTGGGTGGACTCTGGGAGGATGCTGGAGGACAGGAGAGCCTGGAGGAATGTTGTCCTTGGGGTCGTGATGGGTCGGGCATGACTTTGAGACAAAACAAACCAAACTGCTCTTGCATGCACATGGTTGTTGAATCCAGGCAACTTTCAAGGGATTCCTTGGTGCTGGGTCACAAAGATCAACACAGCTGCATACTAGTGGCCACTTACTCCAAAACTTCCAATGACCTCTCCCAGTGCATTCATATAAATATTAAACACACACATTCTATATGATAGGCAGATACTCATATGGAAGGGTCAGAGGCATAAATCTTCCAGTATTTGTAAGTAAATATTTTTAATACAATGATGTTCGAGTTGAAATAGTATCATAACAAATCTGTCTGAATCTCAGAACAACTATAGAAGTCTCTGGGAAAGCACAACTGCTTCCAGAATACAATTCTAGCCCATCATTCTGCATGTTGTGATAAATGACAATGGTTGGAGTTTGCAATTTAAAATGGAAAGACAAGAGAAGCAGGGTCATTTTAATAGTCTTTCTCAGCAAGTCTGCCCACATTTGAATTGCATCTTACTGCCTGGAACGATAGATAGATAGGATTACCGGTATGTGGCTTTGGCTGCATTTCACAAATTGACTGGACAGCTGTGGGGTATGACACAGATGCCGGGATGTGACTTTTTTAGAACTCAAGAGTTTTAGAACTTGAGTTTTTAGAACTCAAGTTTCCTCTTGAATAAGGCTGAAATAGCATTAAATTTAAAGGTTGTACAAAATTACAATGACTGCAATATTACCTCATCAGCTGTTACCTTCATCTTTTGCTCCAGCTCTTCAGCCACAACTGGAAGAATCTCTTTATCTAGAGAGTAATTAAAATATTTAGAGTACATTAGATTATCTTATTACTATCTTGCATAATTAAAATATTTATAGTATACTAGATTACCTTACTGCTATCTTGCAAAGTTTCATGCTTATATAGCTGCATGACTAACTAGAATTTTATTAAGTCAGTAAGTTTGAAATTCAATTCTAAAAATATTTCAAACAAACTTTCTTAAAAACAGATTTTCTCTTCCTTTAGCATAACACTGAGCACTCAAGTGGAAAAATCACTCAAATTCTTTAAGTGAATAAAGAGAGAATTTAAGTGTGCTTTTCCACATTTAGCTGCAAAATTCTGAAACAATGTGGTTAAGCAGAAAAACATGAGTTTAAGCAAGCCAGCAGCTTAATCCTCAGACATCTAATGAAAGTAACACAGTAGCACAAGAGTGGATAGCACAAAGGCACTTAAAAATATTAAGGTGTGGCCAGCACTAAATGGCATGCCAGGGCTCAGAGGACATCTAGGTGCTCCTATAGTGTCCATTGGGATATTGCAGGAGGGCTGGTGGGGGGTGAAGAAGAGGAAGGAAGAGGCACACAGCCCCTGCTGTGCCTGACTGATTGTTGGACAAAGAGGAATCTAACCACAGTACATAGTGGAGGTCAATGTGTTGTAAGAACTCAGTAAGTATAGTTAGGATTAGACTGCACTTCCAGGAAAAACCGTTTAATCATAGCAATATTTTATTTATTTAAAACATTTCTATGCTGCCCCATTCGCCGAAGCCTCGGGGCGGCTCACAAAATATCAAGTCAGCCCATTTGTTTCAATGAGAATAGTGAGTAAGCATGCACTGGAATCAAGCTGCAAGCACAGTTAAATCCCTACCTGTAACCCTAAGCCTAAACAGAGTTTAAAATTTTATAGCCAAGTTACCCAAGCCTAGTGATGGGTAAAACCTTCTCATCTGGCTTCTAAGTCTCCATCAGTATTCAAGCCTAGGCTTTCTATTTATAGCTATTCCATTATTTACTTTAGCAATTCACATTGCACAGTGGTTTTCAACTGCCTGGTCCACAGATTTTGTGCTGGTCCGTGGGAGGGTGCAACCTGCTTGCCGCAGACCGGCATGGGGGCTGGCTGTGCTCTACCACCTCTTCCTCGGTTGGCACCATGTTTGCGGGAGGTTCACCAGTGCTGCTGGGGTGGAGGTGTGGAAGGGAAGGAAGAGATGGCTCGGTGGGAGCTAGCTGGGAGCCACCCTGTGCTGATTTCAGCATTTTGTTCTTTTCTTGGCATTTTTTGTTGCTTGGTTTCTGATTGTTTTGGAGGATTTTCATTTTTTTGGCCTTGTGTTTGGAGACTAATACACAGAATACTGTATTATGTGTATGGTGCTTTTTGTTTCTGCTTCAGTGGTCCCTGAGGTGTTTTTCCTGTTTTTACAAGTCCCCAGCTGTGCAAAGGTTGAAAACTACTGACACAGTACATCACACAGGCATTAATTCAATTACCATCCCATTTCCATTTTACAAAATGGTTTATTTCTATTATTAATGTAATTTCATTTCATTTCATTTCATTTCATTTCATTTCTGTAACACCTGTATTAGGATGATTTCCGGGGAAATGGTGATTTGCTAGCAGCACTCTTTGAGTGCTCTGCACTTTCTCTTTTCAGAGCATTTAAAGTCATATATGCCAGTGGGAAAAGGCTTCTTCCCACACCTCTTCGGGATGAAGACTTCTTTGACCAGTGGATTGCTCAAACTCAGGTTTTCTGGGAAAGTTTGAACAGTTCTCTACAGCCTGTAGCTGAAGTTTTCTGGCAGTGTACAACAAAAAATAAGAATAAAACACAACAGATAAAACTGTTGAATTGAAAATTAATTTAAAATAACATAAAAGAATGTCTTATTTTCCCAGACTTTCAACCTGGTGGTCTGCCTGGTTATTTGTTTTTCGGCGCCAGGCTAAGACCTTTTTATTTAAAACTTATTTTAATTGTCAAATTATTTAATTAATAGGATTTTAAATTTTTAGCCGAGAATGCACCGGGGGTTTTTAAACCATTTTTTAAAAATTTGTTGCATTGTTATTATTTATGTATTTATGTATTCTTTGTGAGCCGCCCCGAGGCTTTGTTGCGATGGGGGGTGGCATAGAAATGTTTTAAATAAACAAACAAACAAACCTCTCCTGTGTTTCCCTACTTCTGCAATTGTCTTCATCATGTGGTTTTATTGCATCTTACTGCAATCTATCCCGGAAATTTTGATTTGATGCTCAGTACACAAATAAATATATTCTAGCAATATATTTGTTGCTGGTCAATGTTAACTGCTATCCTTAATACCCTAAAGTTGCCCTAATCTGATCCTAGCTGAACTTCCCATTTAATATATTTTAGCATTGTTTACTTTTTCCCTTTCCATAGCTGTTGACACCCTTTTATTTTAAATGTTCCCAAGTATAAAAACAAATTACCCAAGTCATCAGTTTCTGAAATCCTAAAGCAATGCATTTACATTAAAAATAAAAGAGTCAGGAAACCTTACCATTACTGTATGCTGTGCTCCCTTGATAAAAAGCTTCCGGTTCTTGATCAGTATTTATTTCAGCTGAGCTATATTGCCTGCACAAATCTGTTCCTCTAGCGAATGTTCTTTCCTCAGAAAATTTTCCCAAATCAGAAAGTAGTAAAGGTGAGCATTCACTGTTGGGCAGATTCCTTTCTTCAGCCACACCGCTTTTTAAAGTTGGCTTGTTATTAATATCATCTCTTGTTAGAGTCGCATTCCCTCTCTCTCTTTCAAGAGGGCCTCCAGAAGGGCTTGATGGAACTTCAGTATGTTGCCCATCCTCTTGGGTTCCATTTCCATGCATACAGACTTCAGTGGATGCCTTATCAGCTGAGAAGTCTAAACATATTTCAGTGCATAGTTTTTCCCCTTCAGTTTTCAATGTTTTAATGTCTGTTTTCATTGGCATTTCTGTGCTTTTGGTGTCACTTGTGGTTTTCAATGTGGTTGATTCTTTGAGAGTATCTTCATGTTCTCCTTTATAAAATCTTTCACCTTCTTTATGAAGCACAGTTGAAGAGCTATCATTGTTTTCTGAAGGTAACAATGTAGTGTACTCAAACTCTTTGGCACATGGGACAATTTTCCTTTCATTTTCTATGCTTGCAAATTCAAATGGAACATCTTTTGAGGTGGCAACAAAGGAGGCACTGTCACATTCTTCCACTCTTCTGGCAATCATATTCTGTGTACTCAAGGTAACCAATGGCTGGTCAGGTTTAGTATTACCTACACTAAGCTCATGGGCATCAGATTTTACCTCCTTTTCAACCAAAGTTATAAGAGTTTGGTTGCTTTTTTCTGTGCTTTGAACAACTAACTCAGACTCTTGACTGACAGCATCCTGAAAAGCCTTGCATTCCTCTGTTAGCTCTGTGGAGATCATAGTATCCTCATCTCTTTCTCTAGTTTCCATTTGTACCACTACATCATGAGTGGCTCTGTTAGAACTTTCTGTTGTAGAGATAGTGAATGTTTCAATCTTTCCTTCTGTTCTGAAGACTTGATTATTCTCTTGATCCTCTGTAGGAAACACTGACGTTTCAAAGTTTTCTATCGAGCTAGTTGAAATCATAGCTACATTAGTAGTTTGTTCTGATCTTAAGCTAAGATGCTGAGCTATGCCCTCAGTGTCCTCTTGAGAAATGACAGCCTCTGCTTCTTCAGTTATGCTTGTAGAAATCACAGTGCACTCGTCTCTTTCCTCTTTGCCATGGACTGTATGCTTCTCAACACTTCTTCCAGTACATACACTGGGCATGGGAACAGCATACATTTCCACACTGGGGGCCATTTCTACAGCTCCTTTGGTAGCAAGTAGACTGTCCCCATCTTCTGTTGCTACACTTGGCATAGGAGCTTCAAATTCTTCCAAGATACTTGTAGAAACCTTATTTGGCTTAACAGCAGCTTCCTCCTGATTCATGTGATCAATAGCTGTACTCGGCATAGGGGCACTGAAATCTGTGCCTGTCAGACTTGAGGTTTTATTGACATTTTTAACTGTTCTTGCAACATGTGGCAATGTCTGTTCAGTGTGCTTGGCAGACCTGTGTGTAGGGGATGTAGGGGACATATTGACTGCACTTGTAGAGATTCTCTCACCTTCACCTTTATCGTCTTCACTAGCAGATGCAGAAGGTGTAGCTGCCTTCTTAGAGACAATCCTAAATAGGCCTTCACATTTTCTGTTATCTAAGGAAGATGTGGTACTCTCATTCCTCTCTTCCTCAGACACTTGACCAATACTTTCATTATTTGAGGTTGCACTAATCATGTCACACTCATATTTCTGAGTAAAGAGAGTTTCTTCTTCCTTTGTAGCAAGTAAGGCCATCATATTTTCACAGCCTACACCAACACTAGTTGTGCTACTTTCAACCACTCCCTTTGCAATATTGTGAATATCATCACTCTTGATTTCTTTCTCCAAGGCTGTCCTGCTGTCAACAGTAGCTTTATCTGCATTTGAGATACGCTTGCCTAACTCTGTTCCAAGGTGGCCTGCAACTAGGCAGTCAGAAGAACTTTGACTTTCTGTGGCGCCCACACAAACCAGCACCCTTTCACTTTCTTCTGTTCCTGTACAGGCCAAAACATGTTCTGCTTCTTCATTGCCCCTTCCTGTACTAGTAACAAAATTTTCCCCTTCTTCATCATCTTCTTTTGCACCAGTACTGGTCACACAACCTTCATCATCATATGAGCCTTGACTGACCTCAATGGCATTTGTTTCAGCTCTAGCTTCAGTACTGTCAGTGGCATGCTCATATTTTTCTTCTGTATCTAAAGCTGCCACAAAACTTCCATTGCTGTCTAAGCCAGTACAAGAAGCTGCTGTTTCAGGGTCATCTTCTGTTGTTATACCCGTGCTGGTGACAGCACTCTCACCATTCACAATGTCTTCACCTTTGTCAGTGTGTGGTTTGGCTGCTATATTGTTGGCCATTTCAGCACTCACTCCAGTCACAGCACTCTCTTCTTGTGAGTCTGTACCAGTCACTGAACAGAGAGCAGAGCCAATCCTTCCTATTTCTGCACCTGTACAAGTCACAGCACCTTCCACTGCTTTAACCTGCTCAATTCCAGCTGCATTACTCTGAAATTCATGTGGAGTTTCACTGATCATAAAACCATCCTGAGCTTCAGTACCTGCACTGGTTACAGCACCATCACTTTCTGTTTCACTAATACCTGTAGAAGCACTGCCAAAGTTGCTTGTATCACCACATGCGGAAGCCATACACCGTTCTTCAGAGCCTGCACTGGTTACAGCATCATCTTTCTCTTCTGTTTCAAAACTACTCACACTCTGATCAAGTTGAACTCTACTTCCATTAACTAAAAGTTTAGCACTTTCTTCTACATAATTGACAACGCACTCACCACTTTCTTCTTCTTTTGTAGTAGTTGAGGAACTTTCGCACACTGCAAGCCCTTCAGTAACACCACCACTTCCTTCAGTTACTGTGACAGTACATTCACCAAAGCACTTTTCTATTACAGAATGGGCACTTCTATTATTTTCGGCCCAACTGCCTGCACTGAAACCTTCATCTGCTTCTATACTTGTACATCTCAAAGTTGTCTTACTTTTTTCTTCAGAACAAGTAATGGTGGCATCACCTTCTTTCTGCAAATTTGATGTACCTTCATGTATGCCTTCCTCAGTACTGGTAGCTGCTACAGTGCTCCCAGATGTTCCTTCTGTGCTAGTTCCTATTACAACTGGATCAATCTCCAAGCTGTTGTGGATACTGCTGCCTCCTACACTACTACCAACTACACTGCTTTCAATTTTATCTTCAACAACTCCTTTTACATTAACTCCTTCTGCTTCACTGGCCACTACAGAAACTCTGCTTATTCCTTCCAGAACATCTTTGGCCAGTGACCCTGAAGACAATTTTATTATAACACTGGTATTCTCATTGTCCTTTGTTTTGCCTTTGCATTCTGTAGCACCCTTATTTTTCTTTACAAAAGAACCTTCACCTGAAATTTCTGTTGAAATTGGTGGAGGCAGATTTTCCTTGAAATTGGTAGGGGCAGATTTTCCTGCAGTTACATCCATAAAGGCTACTGGTAGGCCAGTCAGACCATCATTCTTTATAACACCAATTAATCCAATTCTTTCTTGTGCAGTAGCTTCCTGAATGCCTGTTAAAGCACTCATGTTTTCTGTGCCTGCTTGTTCAGGACTCAGGGGTACTTGACCGTCAGCTGTTATAATTTTCATGTTGGCAGTATTACCCTCTTTTATGTTACTACTGAGTGTAGTGGTATCATGCTGCTGCACTTCAACAGTATAAGCTTGATTGTCTGAAATGGTATCTTCGCTACAAGGTGTATCTAAATTAAAAGATTCCTCCTTAGAGACACAACTCAAAGGACCTTCTACCAGCTCTGTATCCATAGTTTCTTGATGGGCGGCATCCTCTCTTGAAGCTTTGTTTTCTGGAGAACAGCTTGCTTCAGGTGGACCAGTAACATTTTTAAGATTCTCAGGAGTTTGAGCATTCTCAGCTACTCTTCGGTGTTTCAGCTTTTCATTCTCCTTAGAAGCATCATACAGGGTTTCATCACTTGCTTCATTCTCAGTGATTGCATGATATTGCTCCTGTTCAATGGGGCCTACATCCTTTAGAAGTTGTTTAAAGGCATCATTGGGTGCATCCATTTCCTCTGTAAGAAAAGATTCATCCTTTTGTTTGGGATTACTGCAACTGGAAAGGACAGATTTTGATACCTCCTTTATATGCAAAGTTTTGTTCAATTCATGTGTTAAACTCTGATGGACCTGATCTTTGGAAGTATTCTTAAGTTTAGGTTCTTGTGCATTATTACTGCTGCCTTCTTCACCTTGAGATACTTGATGATGTGTATTACTGTGCCTTTGTTCTAATTCAATCTCCATTGGTTGCTGACTTTGTTCAGAATGTAATGAATGTTCACTAGTCCAGACTGTCTTCTGAGGAGCTGGAAAAAGCCAGCTTACAGGTGTGACTTTTTCTTCTCCTATAGCTACTTCTTGGGTTGACGAACTTCCCTTTCTGTTTTCACTAGTTAATCTTTTAATGGGTTTCTTATCAGTGGGCACATTATTTTCTTGTATTTTTGCATGACTCTCTAATTGTTTAGCACCTTTATCCTCTGGTTTGTTGTCTTCCTCTCTCTTTTTTATGTCTTTACTACTATGCTTCAAATTTCTGCTTCTGTGACCTTCTGTAGGCAATTTCCTCTCCAGTCTAGAACTGCCCAAATCTTTATCACTTCTGCTTCTCTCCTTCATGGATGATTTTTCTCCTGACTGCAACTTAACTCTATGACTAGCATCTTTTTGGGAACTACTAACTGAATGCACTCCACCTGCAAGCTCCAATTCTACAGAATTTTCTTCAAAAACTTTAATTTCATTTTTGGATTTATACTGCTTATCTGGATCACTCTCTTCTGTGTACTTATCCTTGTCCAATTTCTGCCCTGGTTCCTGCTTGGTGGAGCTTTCCTGTAATTCACTTTCAGGTACTTTGGCTTGTTTATTGTGACTCTTGGACTTGGACTTTAAGAAGGACCTTTCTTCCAAGACACTCTTTGATCTTCGTTTGTCTTTGTGTGTACTGTCACCTTGTCTTAAAGTATTATCAAGGTTAGTTGATTCTGCATCATGTTTATCTTCTGAGTAACTTTCACTCCTCCTTGCTATTACAGAACTATGTTGCTTTAATGCACTCTGAGAGTCTTTCTGTGGCCTAGCATCCCCTGACAACCTTTTTGACTTGTGTTCTGTTTTTACTTTATCAATGGAAACCTGTCTGTCTTTTCTATTCTCCTTACGTGAATTATCTTCATTTTTGGAAGCGTATTCAGCAACATTTTTCACATCTTTATTATTTAGTGATAGTTTCCGTTCACTTCTGTGTTTAGTCTTCCTTTCAGCTTTATCATCTGACAAAGCTTTTGCTAGTTGATTATGTTTCTGAACACTCTCCTCACTCTTTAGGCCTCTCTCAGATGGCAAATTTTCTACTTCATCACCAGCTTTATGAACACCATCTCCTTTATGAACAGCTGCTTTATGCTTCAGTAATGACTTATCTTCAGAAAGACTTCGGTCTTTTTCATTTTTATCTTTTGATGATCTAGCCTCTCTCTTGGAGGCTTGAACATTTCTAGAAGTTTGAGTTTCTGAATCATCCTTTTTGAGATGTTTTTCATTTTTAAGTACACTCTTTTGCTTTTGAGATTCTTCCAAACAGGCCTCTGTTCTGTCAAACCAAGGTTTTAGATCTCGGGATTCAGTGTCTTGCTGTATTCCATCTATCAGAAGAGAGAGAGATGTTTTTCTTTTGTGTTCCTTTTCCCCCTTGGAATCACTTCTGTTTTCATCAGTTGAGTGCACGGACTCTGGAAGTCTTCTAACAGGCTTATTTCCTTCATTTTTACTCTGATTGGCTTTCACATCTTTTATGGAAGACTTTTCACCACTCTACAAAAATATGTAGTAAGCTGTTAGGTAAGTTTTTAGTAAACACTGTGAATTATTTATCTCTCTACCATGGGTTAGATCCAAACTTTTGCTGAGTAGAGTTCTTCAGCAACTGAGGAAGGGGGCAATTTCCTCATATTCCTCCTCTAATGTGATCTCCCACACTGCTCTGGAGCACTGATCTCGCATCTGAAACAGCATGGCAGGTGCCATTAGAGGTCACTGGGGAAAAGGGGAAGTGGAGAAAATCACAGCCAGTCTCTACTTGACTACTGTTCCCTCTACAAACAGAAGGAGGCTTTCTATCCACTGAGGAGCAAGTGTGAATATAACCCATTCTGCAGGGCTGTATACCTAGTTTTAATTGCAAATACTGAATTTAATTGTAAGAATCAGTAACTACACAGCTATTCAAGTCAATAACACATTATTTCTCCTTCAGCAGAGATAAATAAACATGACAGCTTAGCAGTCAATGCTGGCAAATTTTGAGTTTTAACATGAAAATCAAAGCAAAATGTGAATTAGCAAATTGGTTAATTGGGATCAACCCAGAATTGAGAAAATAAAGAGCCATGCTGGATCAGATCACGGTGCCATGTTTGGACACCTTGAAGGATACAAGAAGGATTTAAGTGCCACCCTCCTGCTCGTGTTCTCCAACAATTGGTATATATAGACATACTTCCTGTGATTAAGTGTAGGCTGTCATTGAACTGTGGGTTATTGTTGAAATATGGGTGATCTTTTCTAAACCCAAGTTATGATAACAAGCCATGGTTTGTGAAGCCATGGTTTGTGAATCACAAACAATCCACAATAAAAAAGCATCGGTCCTTTTCATGGATTGGGTTGGTTTTATTTACCAAAGTATAATTCAACAACAGACACTCAGGCTGAGTTCGTATCACATGACAATCCATCTTGGCAATAAGCCTCAGTGGACTGGTTGTTTTGTAAAGTACCACAATAAGCAAGCTAGACAATCAGACTTATCATGGGTACTCTGCTCCCTCCCTCACGTTCCTTCCACCTTGTTCCTCCAGGCAGTATCCCAGAAGGCACTGGAAGTTGGAATTAAGTTTCCTTTCCCTGGCAGCCAGAACCATGATTTTATTTCAGCTCTCCACAACTGTCTGAGAACCCCTGCTATACAAACAGGGGACTTTTGCCCTGAAGCACACCAAGGAGAAACTTCCAGCCTTAGCAGCAACATGTAGGGGGACCGATGCAGTGAGCAGCGTCCTGCATGCTGCACAGCTGAGGCTGGGAGTTTCTTCCTGTTGCCGTTAAATGTGGGAGCTGTGTTCATGCTACAAGGACAAAGAAGAATATTTTCTTTTTAGTCCCTGTAGAACAAACAGGACACTTGCCCTAACGTGCAATGAGAAAAATGGGGGAGTTGGCTGGATACCTGTGCCTCCTGCTCACTTTGGAGTAAAGCAAGGGCACCCAATCAGTTTGGTGCTGCAGTTCAAGGATGGGGAAGCACCACTGAGCAGACTGCTAGCTCCTTCCTCCTGCCCAAGAGTAGATCATTCAGATAGGAGGGAGTAGCTGGTAATCCACTCTAAAAGGACTGAGCATCCCTGGCAAATGGCTTGCCAGACCCTGCTTCCAAGAGGCCACTGCTACCTCTTCCCAAGAGTAGACTCTGGTGCAGGAGGCAAGGGTACCCAATCAGCTCCATGCTGCCTCCCAGAGTGGGCTGCACTGTGGAGCACACGACCAGCTTTTGCCTCCCAGCCATCACTGCCAGTGGCCTCAGCATTCTACTTCAGAGCCGTCAGCAAGGATGGCCAGTTCATGTTGCTGGGACTATGAGCACTTTGGTGACTGCTGTCAGCTGTGCTCACCTGGCAGCTACCTGTAAAGAACAGTAAGGGATTTTTGCTACTTTTGCCAATTGGCTGGTTGGCTGGTTGAGGTCACTCACGGTGGATTGTGCTGTCCATCTTTCGATGACACATCAACCCACCCTGTGTGACAACAGTCCTAAAACTGCCCATGAGCATTGTGTGGTGGCTTTCTTGAGGAAAAAAGGCCACCTCTGTGAAGCAGCCTCTGTTCACAAGACATGACAAACCACCTCTGATAGCAAACAAAGGTGGATTGTCAGGTTGTCTGAATCAGGTCACTATCTTGAGTGTGTGTGTTACATGTGATAGTAAACTACATAGTGTAACTCTGTGAAGCATGATGAAATACTTCCTTTTGCCTGTCCTGAATCTCCCACCAGCCACTTCCATCAAATGATTCCACATTCTGATAATGATATTCTTAGAGAGGCAGAAGCATGTTTCCCTATCTACTTTATCTACGCCATGCATAATTGTGTGCATGTCTCTCATGTCTTCCTTCACTTGCTTTTCATCTAAGCTAAACAATCCTAGATTTTGTAATCTTTCCTCATAAGAGAATTACTGTACCTAAATTGTTTTAGTTGCCATTCTTCGCACTTTTTCCAACTCCAAAACATCCTTTTTTAGATGTGGTGATTAAAACTGACCGCAGTATCCAAAGTGTGGACATATCATAGATTTGCATGATTTTATTTTCAATTCCTTTCTTAATTATACCTAACATTGACTTGCTTTTTTCACATTAAGTAGACATTTTCATTGAAGTGTCCACAATAACTGCATGATCTCTTTCTTGGTTCAGATCCCATCAGCATATATATGAAGCTGAATACTCATCTGCACTTTCGATGTGCGTTCACCTAGTCTGGAGAGACCCTTTTGGAGCTCTATGCAATTTTTTTTTGTGCCACCCTAAATGATTATGTGCAAATCTGGCAACTTTCCCACTCACTTCTAAGTTCAAATAGTTTCAGATGTAGTTGAAAAGCCTTGGTCCCAGTGCACATCCCCCTGGGACCCCACCGTTTACATCTCTTCTTTGGGTAAGTTTACCAATTATTTCCATTTCCTGCTCCATGGTTTTTAAGTGGTTACTGATCCACAGAAGCCCCCGCTCCCCCCGAGATTCCATGGTTGCTAAGTTTGCTTAGGAGTCTTCAATGAGGGACTTTGTCAAAGGCGTTTTCAAGGCCAAGTAAACAATGGCCAAGTCAACAATTCAAAGCAGCCAGAAAAAAATGATGGCTAACTGACAGACCATTTCTCTTAAAGGTTTGTCATGTCCCCTACTTGAGGCCCAGCTTCTTCCTAAGAGGACTCCAGATTTGGTCAAATCAAAGGATGTTCTTTGAAGGAGGGAGGACTTGGCATCCTTTCTGTACTTTGCCATATTGAAGAAATAGCTCTCCCATAAACATTTAACTCCAAGGAAGCCTCTCCCAACTGTGTGAATCTGGGTTGTCTTAATCTTACTTATCATCACTTACTAATCATTACTGTCATGGCTTCAACATGACTTACTGGGGTCAATCTGAGTTCCATCACCAAGAGGTGTTTGACTAACTCTGGCTCTTTGCTCACAGGTAAGAAGTCCTAATAATTAACAAAGATTTTGATTTTAATAGGGGATTGCTGTAACAGTTTCATAATGATCCTCCAGTATTTTATTTCCCATACTAATGGCTTTACTAAAACTCTTTAAATCAATATTGCTAAAATGAAGAACAGGAAATAATTCAGAAAGATAATTATATACATTAAATGTATGAATATCATTGTTTAAAGTTCATATTCTACAAAGATGGATGCAACAGTTTTCCAGAAGAGATTTTAAAGTTTTTAAACTTGGGACTTACTTCACTTATCCTCTGAATTTCTCCAAGATCTTCGTCTGCCTGTTCATGTTTTTTTTCCCTACCTTCTTCATCATGTCTGAAAGATTCAGAAGATGCAGCAACTGAGATTAATCATTTTAACTAGAAATACAAACTGATTGATTCACTAAATTAACAAATTTTTAGCAAGTCATTCTACTGATAATGCTTGTAGGCATATTTTCTTGTTCTTCCATTACAGTGCAGAAGTAAAAACAGTTAAAACAGCATGGGGTTTAGATGGGGTGTCTATGAAGTTCACAATGCTCTTTTTATTTATTACATGGTAAACTCAAGGAAGGCTACCTGTGCTGTAAACCATCTTTCGAGTAGTCGCACAAGAAAAGAATCAAACTGATGTTCTGCTTTAGACTTTTAGGGTAAGTGCTGACATAAAATTCTTTCATTCAAAAGGAAGAAATTGTGAAGCACTAGATTATTCAAGAGATAAGGCTGAAAAGTGAATGAAAGGGGAGCTTTTAGACAATGCAGAGTGGTAACAACTTTACATTTTTAAGATCAGTGAACTTAAGACATAGGGGAGGGTTAGGTAACTCCCTCTAAATTAATCTTAGCAGCCATTGGGGAGAGACTGGTTCACCACTTTGCCCTTATAGAAAGAAGGGTGGGGAGTGGCAAAAATATGTGGGACTCTTACTTGTGAATCTGTATCAAGGGGGCAAACTAGTCCCGTACCGTCAGACCCTGGAGACCAACATCATTTGCTTGTGGGGACTAGATGACTTCTTCCTCTTGCTCTCAGCAGGAGTGACAATGTTATGAGGGCAACATATGAATGACACTGGCACTCCAAGGAACACGGGGATGGGGGTGGAGGAATTGTCTTTGTCAGTATTTGAGAGGCAATAATCTAAGGTTACTTTGAGCAACTTGATGATGTTTAGGTGAACAGTTCGCCTTCTTGGGGTGGGAGAGAAGACTTACAGATGAAGCAATTCAACACTTCATTGTATCTCCTAACAATGGTGGGATTAAGAGGCCATGAGCAGTGGTTCCTTTCCCAAGGAGAGGGTGCAGCTTATGGCTTTTTCCTTTTACCTTAGCTTGACTGAAGTACAGGTACAAATACAAAGTGGAGCAGAAATCCAGGCTCTTGCCCACAGAACTGGAGCAAGAAAAGTGAGATACAAAAGAAAGAGGGGCCTAACACTGACTGAACTACTAAGTATCAAACAAGCTTCACATTTGTTTTAATCTAGAGCAGTGAAAGGAAAAATCTCTCAGGAAGCCATAGAGATGTGAAGACTGGTGTGTAGGGGGTAGGGCAGAAAAAAAGGGGAAATACAGTAAAATACAGTGGTACCTCAGCTCCTGAATGCCTTGGTTCATGACCAAATTGGGTCACGAACAGAAATTTCATGAAAATTTTGACTTGGGTCGTGAACTCCGCATTGGGTGGCGACCAAGATGGCAGCCATCTCCCCCCGACCCACCCCAAGTGGGGAGATGGTCACCATCGCAGTTGTGTTCGTGCAGAGAAGACGTGTGTGATCACGGGCGCACTCCTGCAGGAAAGATGGGCGCAATCTCGGCTATCTCCCCCCCCCCCCGCAACCAGCACGATTGCAGCCATCTCCCCACCCTCTGAGTGACTATACAAAAAACAAGTGACTATAGACAGATTTTTCACCAAAATTGACCCTGCAGCTAAGAGACAAAGAAGAGAGGAAACCCCTGAAAGAGATCTCCCCAATGAGGGAGAGTCCTTATGGAGGGGGACTCTCCCTCAAAACAATAACCTCCCTTCACACTAGGTTAGTGTTCTCCACGGTACAGTACTTTGTTAATTTGTTGTTCTTCGTCCCTTTTTTCAAATTTTTCTGATAAAAAAAATAGTTACAGTATGGATTAACCTTACGGGGAAATTTGATTTGGGTCACAACCAGAGTCGTGGAACAGATTCAGTTTGTGAGTCAAGGCACCACTGTATTTTGAACAATAAGTTTTCCCCAATTTTTCCTGGGATTCTTGGAAAATATGGGGGAAATTGTTTTTCTCCATATTTTTAGTTTCCTCCCAGTCTTTCTCCAAGGTTTCACATGTTTCCACAGGAAGAAAAACTCAAAATTAGGAAATAGTTCGTGTCCTTCGGAAAATGCCTTCCTAGTCCCAAGGGGTACAACTTAACCAGTTATGTCCACCAGTCCACAAGGAAAGAATACAGTAAATACACTGCAGGTTCATATTCATGTTCAAGTGGCCAGTCCGAGTAAATATAGTAAATAGTAACCTTAGATATGATACCCTTTACAACCTTGAAAGAAAAAGTACGCAGCAAGTATGTATGTTGTGGTTAATCTGTTTTATCATGAAATGTTTTATGCTATTTATAATATTATATTGTTATTTATATTGGAATTTTTATTTTTGTAAGCTGTCCTGAGGCTGCTGCAAAGGACAGCATATAAATGTTTTAATTAAATTAAATTAAAATTAAGCAGTATTCTGCTAGACTCTCCAAGCCACCAAAGAAGAGACTCATGAGTGAGAAATGGAACCCCACTTGATCAATCAAATCACTGCATCCACCAAGGGAGATGTGCAGCAAACAGAACCACACAGAGCCCTCGATGTTCAGCAGCAGAGACAATGAATGAAAAGGATAGCCAGGAGGAAGACAGAAACAAACTTTGGCAGGGCTAAAAGGAGTGCAAAATGTGTTGCTCTATTTCATCCTCTAGCTTTCTTCTTGTTATAAGAAACCAGCCCAGAGGCTGCTGCAGGGCTTGCTCACATTTATGGGCTTTTAGTCAAGCAAATATTAAGTGATTCCATTTAGCTTCCCTCTCCTTTTAATCATACAGATTTGCATTATCACAAACTAACAGTCCTGTATGAGCCTCACATTGCAGATGGGAATCAAAACAGAGGCTTGTCTATAATATAAGCTTATCTAGTAAACTCAAAACAGAGAGCTCTGTAGGACTTACTTTTGAGTAAACATGCACAGGAATGAGATATTAGACCCATGGTATATCAGCTGTATATGTTACAAGGTGTGCAATAAAGGAAAATAATGAATGATTTCAGCACCCCTTCCCGCAACCCAAATTGTTTTGAACAGGAAAATCAGACCATGATTGCTACAAGCTACAGAAATGAAAGCGAATCAATCTCCTTTCAGTACACACACCAAATAAAAATCTCTCCCAACTCCCATTGATTCTGAAATTGAAAAAGTAGGAAAATTGGAAGCTGGATACTAATCTAGAAAAGAACCAGAAGACATTGTTTTAAAGTACAGAGCAAGTGAAACTTGCTGCATACATATGTCTCCTTTAAAGCCAGAAAGAAAGGAAAAATAAGCAGAATAGAAAAACACAAAGAGACAGAAAAATACAAATGCAAAAACTCCCATTAGTATTATTATTTAAAATAGGAGAGAAATCAGTCTCTTCTCTGGCTCTTTTTTCTGATGCCTAAAAGAACAAACCTACCATACCTATTTAAACATGTTCAGTTTTCTTCCATACCACAGAAGCAATGGGAAAAGCCCTGTAAGATTTAGTTGGTCCTTGAGTACAGCACTACCTAGCTAGAAGGAGATGAGAAAGTTTCACATGATGAGCCCTGATACTGTCTTGGTGGCTGGGCTAGCATACTGAGCCTTGACTGCTCAGTGGTTAAGAGTGGGTGGTAAGGTGTATATGACTTTAGGAGCAATCAAGCAAATCAGCAAGAGATGCACTGTCGCCAGAAGGTGCAGAAAAATTTCCAAGGAAGGTAGTGGGCTGGTCCTGTTGCTAGACTGCAAACTAATCCAGAAGCCAGCTACTGATTTGGCTTCCCCAACTGAGCAGGCAAAATTAAAGCAAATATGAAGTCAGAGACCCAATTTGCATGCAACAGTAACCCATAATTTAAACCACTGTTTGTTGCCCTACCAAGAATTTGTCTGGCAAATGGTCAAAGAGGTCATCAAACTGTGATTGGTTTTTATTTATGATTATTGGTTTTCTCATTTCCTGAACTGTTTCCCTTTTCCTTTACCCACCCATCTCTGTAGTCCAACTGCTTTTACAGCACTGGCATGTAAAAAGGCTGCTCCTTTTTAAACTGCTCTTGCCTTTTGCCTCTAGCCTGGTAAAACAAACCATGAACAGCCCACAATTTTCAGTTCACACAGCAACAACCCATGGTTAAACAATCCACAGTTCACAGATCCACAAACCATAGGATCATGTGCTACCTGTGGTTCATGTGCTACCTGTGGTTAACTACCCAGTTTGAGGTTCATATCTGAGGGTATCTGCTAAAGAACAGTATAGAAAAACTTCTATAATTCAATAAAACATGGTTACTTAAACCATGGATTGTCATCATGTGAGAACCAAGTCCAAGGTTTTGTCTGATATTAAAAAAAACAAACAACCCTGCCATTGCTACACTTGCCACACCCCTGGAGAGACACCACAGAGATCCTAACAGAGTAAGCCAGTCTTGCATTCTCCACTCCCTTCTCCATGCATCCGTCCTGGACAGGTGTGCAACCACCTGCAGGACAACTGCTGCTAAAGTACATGGGAGAAGGAATAAAATCAAAGTATCACAAGACAGGCTGCACTGGACAATTTCAATTAGTCAGATTCATGTTTCATCCCCACTAAAAGTTTAGATCTTACTGATTTTGAGGACAGTATTATAAAGAGCATTAATTTTCCTTTGGGTTTTGCCATCCCTTCAAAGATGAAACAAGCTATATAATATGCAAACATTAATGCAATTAATTCATTGTATAAGAAAACATAATAGTACCTTGATTCTCTCTTTCTTTTCCTACTTAGGGCTACCTTTTTCTCCAAAAACCTTTGTTCTTTAAGCACATCCTTAATGCTGGCACCACTGGCTTTCAGTTCAAGGCCTTTCCCTGAAGATTCTTCTGGGTTTTGAATGCTTTTACCTATAACCAAATAGTAAAGTGTCAAGTCATACTATTTTATATTATTATATTGGCTGCAAGTTGAATGGATTGTTGCAGAAATGCAACTAAATCAAAGAAAAACAGCACAATAAGGGTTTATTTAAAGTCAAACATATCACCTTGATTTCCAGTTTTCAAAGTTTTTGTTTTTTCTGCTGCTTTTTGTTTCCGCTTTTCTTCAAGCTTTTCTCTATTAAGCCGTCTCCTTAAAAGTCTCTCTTCTTTTTCTCTAGCCTGAAACAGAAAAACAGTAAATTAACAGAAATGTTGCTGCCTTTTCCAGCAACAATACTACTTATATTTGTCTTCCCCTCCTGTCCACACAGACAAAACTACCATGAAGGTTAGGAGACCACTGGGAGTAGCTCCTACTTAGATGTAAGTAGCTGTTGCCAGAAAGTAAAACTGGCAACTCAACCCCCTCCCTCCATACACAGGCTTGTTTAGATCACAGCCTTACCCTGCTCCTGTATTAAATAAACACACTGCGTGCTTATTTTAACCTTTAAAGTCCTAAACAGTTTGACGCCAGGTTTCTTGAAGAACAGGGAGATATCTGGACCTTCAACAAAGGCTCTATTCCAAGTATCACCTCCAAATGAGATTGAATGGGGAGCTGATAACTAGAAGCTTATTACTGACAGCACCCTAGTCATAGAATACTCTCTCCAAATTGGTTTGCCTGGTACCTACTCTATATTTCTTTTTTGCTGTCAGGGAGGGAAAATATTCTATGCTTAGGTAAATGTATAGACAGGCTTTCTACTAGCGACAGTGTTCATGGGAGGTAACCCATGTTTTCCTAGCATGTCAAGAACAACTTTTTAGTTTGTCACGCTAACTCATTATAGGAGATCAGCACACCAGAGCTTCCAGTTTGCACACTGCTGCAAACAAACTTCACATGGAGAGTACCTGACTTGTTCAGCTATGGAGCCAAACAGGAATGATTGACTCATTTGCTTGTTTGCTCATTTACTTTCCCTGCCTGCCCTGCAGAATTCTAAACAATTCCAGTTTATCAGTATGTGTGAACTGAGCTTTCTATCCTTGTAACTATCTCAAAAAGCATTTCTGTTTATTAATACAATGAACAAATAATGATAAAAAGTAACTGTGTGAACTACCTCAGCAAAGATGACTCAGAATATAGCTTTAAGAATACATAAGCTGGATTGCCTGGGTGTAGCATTTTAATTTTTGGCTGAATGCATCATTTCATGTAAGAAAGGCTACATATTCATAAGAAAAACAAATACAAGTTGTGTGACTTGGGAGCTCACAATATCTGACATATAGAACACATCTACTAGCTGAACAAAGCAGTTGATATAGAAAGTTTATTCAGGTCAGTGCTCATCCTGAAAGGTAGATTGCTGCAGTATTTGTTGATGAACCATCAGTAAAAGAGCAACTGTTCAAATGAAACTTACAACAGATTGGCGTCGTTGCTCTACAGTCCTTTCATCATCAGAATCACTGTAATACTTGGAATAAAGGTAAGGCTTGTGGACATAAGCTTGTCGTCCAGGTTTTGTCTTTTTATCATTAGCTGCACTAGCCTCTGGCTTTGTTTTAATCTGATTGTGTTCTTCTTCATCAACTAAAGAAATATTGAGAAAAAGACAACTTAGAGAAAAATCAACTTTAAAATCAGATTTAGGCTGGGCTCTGAAGCACCAATCAGTTGACCTGTTTACATGATCATTGCAGTCCATCGTGGCTTATTTATTTTTATTATTATTATTATTATTATTATTATTATTATTATTATTATTATTATTATTGTAACATTTCTATGCCTCCCCTTGCCGAAGCCTCGGGGCGGCTTACAACACAATAAAATACATTGAAATACAATAGAACATAATAAATTACCATTAAATACAAAAATACAAAAAATACACTGAGTTACAAACATAATAATATAAAATTAAAATTATCAGTATAAAATAAGTAAATAAATAATATAGGAGGAGAAAAGGGAAGGAAGAAGAAGTTGCCCTGGCCAGATCATATGTTTTAACAATTAAAATGATGTTTAAATAAAAAGGTCTTTACCTGGCGCCGAAAAACCAGTAACGACGGTGCCAGGCGGACCTCTTTGGGGAGTGAATTCCATAGGTTGGGCGCCACCGCAGAGAAAGCCCTCCTCCGAGTACTTACTCTCCTAATTTCTTTCATGGAGGGTTCCAGGAGAAGGGACTCTCCCGCAGATCTCAAAGGGCGGTCGGGCATATACGGACGTAAGCGCTCGTTCAGGTAGCCAGGACCCAAGCCGTTTAGGGCTTTATAGGTCATAATCAACACCTTGAATTGGGCCCGGGCTTCAATGGGAAGCCAGTGAAGCTGACGGAGGACTGGAGTCATGTGAGCATAACGCCCCGTCCCCGTCAGCAACCTGGCAGCTCTATTTTGCACCAATTGACGTGTTCAGACCGTCTTCAGGGAAAGCCCCATGTAAAGCGCGTTACAGAAGTCTAGGCGGGAAGTCACTAGCGCGTGTGTCACCGTCGCCAGGCAGTCGTACTCCAGGTAGGGGCGCAGCTGATTAAACAGCCGAAGCTGAAGGAAGGCGCTCCTTGCCACCGCTGTCACCTGAGCTTCCAAAGAAAGCTCCGGGTCGAGGAGTACTCCTAAGCTGCGGACCTTATCCCTAAGAGGGAGTGTTGCACCATTCAAGACCAGGTCAAATCCACCCTCTCCGAAGCCCGATCCGCCAACCAACAGGACCTCCGTCTTGTCTGGGTTGAGTTTCAGTTTATTGGCCCTCATCCATTCCCTTACCTCGGCTAAGCACTGGTTCAGCACAGCCACTGCCTCACCTGGATTAGTGGAAAACGAGAGGTAGAGCTGGGTATCATCAGCGTATTGATGATTCTGCAGCCCACACCTCCTGATGACCTCTCCCAGCGGTTTCATATAGATGTTAAATAGCAGAAGGGATAGAATGGAGCCTTGTGGTACTCCATGGCATAGCTGCCATGACGTAGAGACATGGTCCCCCAGCACTACCTTCTGGAATCGACCGTTGAGATAGGAGCGGAACCACTGCAAAGCAGTGCCTCCAACCCCCAATCCCGCTAGCCTATCCAGAAGGATACCATGGTTGATGGTATCGAAAGCTGCCGAGAGGTCCAGAAGAACCAACAGGAATGCACTCCCCCTGTCCTTCTCCCTGCACAGGTCATCGTACAGGGCGACCAAGGCAGATTCAGTACTGTACCCAGGTCTGAAGCTGGACTGAAAAGGATCCAGATAATCAGTTTCATCCAAGAGTGCTTGGAGTTGTCCCGCCACCACTCGCTCCAACACCTTGCCCAGAAACGGGATGTTGGCCACAGGTCTATAGTTAGTGGCCATCTCTGGATCCAGTGACGCTTTCTTCAGGACCGGTCGTATTACCGCCTCCTTTAAAGGGGCAGGCACTCGACCCTCCCTCAGAGAAGCGTTAACCACTTCCAAGATCCAGGTCCCAATCCCATGCTTGGAGTTATTTATTAACCAAGACGGGCAAGGATCCAACAGGCAAGTGGTGGGACGTACTCGTCCAAGCACCTTGTCCACATCATCGGGCTGCAATAATTGAAATTCCTCCAATAATTTTGGAACAGACGGTAGCATTGGCGTCTCCCCAGAGACCTCTGATTCATTAGTGGAGTCCAGCTCGTGACGAATCTGAGCAATTTTCTCCCTGAAATGCCTGGCAAAGTTGTCACAGCGGGCCTTTGAGGGTGGCATCGGATCTTCCTTAGGACCCGGGCGAACCAGGCCTTGTACCACTCGAAAAAGCTCCGCCGGACGGCATTGTGAGGAGGCAATGGAAGCGGAAAAAAACTTCTTTTTCGCCGCCTTCACTGCCACAGCATAGGCCCGATAGTGGGCTCTCAAGTGTGTTCGGTCAGATTCATCCCGTGATTTCCTCCATCTACGCTCTAGTTGTCTCCCAACCCGCTTCATCGCCCGCAATTCAGGTGTATACCAAGGGGAAGAGCGGACTCTGCCCGGTGGGAGAGGACGCTTGGGAGCGATCGTGTCCACACAATGCCTGCCAGCAGTCTTTTTGAATATTCATCTTCTGAAAGTGGGTTTGTCATGCTGTCCAAACATGGGAGAGAAGGGTTGTTTTAGAGTTAAATATTCAAAATGGCTACTTGCATGCACCACAAGTCATCATACTTAAAACAATGTGCTGCTGCAGTAATTGTGTGAACCTGGTCAGGTCTCATCTGAACAAAATAATTCTTCTGCCTCCCTCTCCTCTACCCAGAGCACCTCAAAAGCTGATACTGATGGACATATGGGTTGAAATTGCAAAATCAACAATCCTGTGCAAGTATAAAAGCACTTTTTATGCATAAACGGATCTTGTAGCTATGTTCCGCTGCCCCCCCACCCCCAGATGGTAAAACCCAGATGCAATTTAAACCCGAAATATCTGTTGGAGAAATGCAGCTTCTTAAAAAACACACAGTGCTTAACAATCCAACTGTCATGTCAAAGGACATGTCAGAGTGACCAACAGAAATAAGCTTATTTTTGCTACATTATAAGCAAAATTGCTAACAAAATACCCTGGAAGTTATAGCATTGCATTTGGGTTTCTGATAGAATCCCCTGTACTCTCAACTATAAGTGCCACCATTTTGAGCGAATCCTATTTAGTTTAAATTTGTGATATTCTCTAGTCAATTAATAAAAACAGAGAACATGTAACTTTTGAATTTGAGTATAAGGCCTAATGAACACCTCACTTTGATTATACAAACATGTCTTCAATAAGACAACATGGAATTAAAGCAATGATAAAAAGTGGCTAGCATTTCCATAGAAGTTTGCATATGATACTTGAATGCACCACTCTAAATATCCAAACTAAGCCCAGCATTTAACATAAGATTAACAGCACAAATTTGACTCTATTCTCCATGTGATGTCTAACAAGGTGAAAGATCTGTGACAGAAGGGTATGTTCAATCCACTTTTGATCACTTCTGCACAAATTGGATTTGGCTAATTGATTCTCCTCATACTTTGAAGTTAGTATAATCACCAGAACAGTGACATTCCGGGGCTGGGAGAGCCAGTGTGTGTGTAGAAAGATCTCTTTCTTGGCACCCACGAAGCTACCTGTCGCTTTTTATTATTTTACTTAAGATTTTGATTTTTTTTTTAAACTTAGAAGGCTGGCATGCTGCAAACTGAAGGGCTGCCTCCTGGTGCCATCAAAATAGTGCTTTTGTATTTTGGAGTTCAGGCCTTGCTTCTGCCTTGAACTTTGTTTCTTGGGCAATTTACTGGCTTGCTTCTGGGTTCTGAGTATGTTGTACTCATTTTATGAATGGGCAACCAGCAAGAGCAAGCATTTCGTAAAAGCATCCACAAACTGTCTCAAAATTACCACTGACCCAACAGGGTTAGGAGCCTGTCTAGAATAACAATCACTTTATCTGGTTAGTACCAAGACATCAGTGTGCAATTACCAAAGATGAACAGACATAAGCTTAAGTCAGTACCCACAGAGTATAAACTATGCTACTAGTATCAATATTAAGGCAACAGGGACAACTATCCAAGATGTAGATGCGCAGATGTGATGAGACCACAGGAATGAATGCACTCTTCTTTCATGTTCAAATTTTCCCCCACCAAACTCTGCTTGGGCTCTAAATCCAAACAACTGTCATCCAAATGCACTCTTCAGCTCAGCATGAAAACTGTTTATCAGGTTCCTAAGCTACATTTTGGGGTAAAATCAGTTTTATTTTAACCCACTTTAGTGACAGCATTTTGGAATGATATACCTGAGTAGATGGAATTGGAAATCATTCATGCATGTGATCTTTGTCTTGGTAAAATGGACAGCTGTACTGTAATACTTGCATTTTTAAAACATTTTGGTTTCTTCTAGATAGGCAAGGAACTCCAGTTTAGGTTTCAGATTGTTAACTTACCATCAGAAACAATTTCCCCTTCTTCAGTGCTATCAGAAAGTGCAAGTTCCTCTTCACTTTCCTCTTCAAATGAAGAAAGATCGCTGGTGTGCACAGAGCTAACAGTTATATCGCTGAGTATGTCCACATCCGAATCTTCTAAAGCTAGTTCAGAAGAACATAATTTTCTTAGAACATGGATCACATAAACAGAAATTGCTACCATATATGGAAATAACTGTCAATTAACATATTCATCAGCATATGGAATATTACTGCAGAACCTGAGTTTTGGGAGACCTTTTCCATAAAAGTGCAAGGGGCCATAGTGAGTGTGCACATAGAGGAAGACTATGCAAAAACAGAGTGCAAGCATTTAAAAGTATTATTTTAAAATGACTGTGATAAAGAGAGTGCAAGGAGAAAAGAAGAGGTGAACCACAGTCATGTTTCAAGTCAGGAAAGGAGAATAGATGATACTAGTTGCTCTAGATGAGATTAAGGATGATCTATTTCAGTTATCAAGATTAAGCAGCATCTTCAGAGATAAATAAATCTATTTTAGAAATATTAATTTTGATAATTAAATTAGGGAACAGACAATGTATAAAAATATAAAGAACCACTGACAAAACATATACAGGCTTCTGACACATCAAGTACGGAAAACATAAATATCATGGAAAGAAAGAGAAGAATCTGAGGATTCATTTGAGGCAAAGGACAAAACAAAAACAAACTCTCAAAATTCAGCTTTGGAAAATGAGAAGTCACCCAAGGTAAACACTGAAGGAAAAAAAGACTTGAAAGGCAGGACCTTAGGTGGGGTTATGTGTATGACCTCCCTCCCCCCAAATCTAGGCAGTACTAAGCAAAAAAAAAAAGAGATCTAAGAAGTAACTGAGTGAAAAGGAGGAGATGTTACAGGCACTGACAGATTATGAAAATGAAGCCAAAAGACACAAGGACCCAGATCATTTAGGCACGAAACACCCCCATGGGTTTTTAGCATCCCAGGTTCACACATCATGCTTACAATGTATTACCCAGCCAACTCTAGGCTGTTATTGAAAGCAAAAGTGAGGAATGTATAGAAGCCAGTGTGCTCATTCACGTCTACTCATGCATAGCAAAACATCGGTTCATTAACACCCAATGTGCCATTATGTGTAAACAGGCTAACCGTATGTGGCTGCACAGATAAATAACAAAAATGGCAGTATAGCACGCCATATAGATTTACTGCTTAAAGGTAAATTTTAAACAATAACAGAGATATAGAAGTCTATTTAATTAACTTAACATGCAAACATTCTGATATAAAAAATTCTGTAATATATGAAACAGCCCTCATTCTAATGAGCTAGGTAAGTCAGGTAAGTAAACATCTAACCTCTTTAAAATTACTACCAAATTGCAGATCAAAGGAAAAGAATGCTGCTGTTAAGTGTACACAAGCACCAGAATGTTACTGTCAGTATTTGTTTACCCAATGCAACACTTTCTAAGGAAGTCAAAACTTGCCTCTCAATTTTATAACCTCTTACCCACCCATACTTTGGTTGTTCACATGGGAACACATGGGAAAACATGGCACAAATTATTTAACGAACAGCGAGTTTTGCATTTGAGCACAAGGTGCATGAGGCTCTCATTCTAAATATGTAACCCCCACCTGGCTTTTGCAAGGGTTAACAGCCTTCACAGATCAGTTTTACATCTCTACATAGCCCATGCTCATCAGATTTGCATGACGTGTCAACCTCTCAAGTGGAGTGCTTATGCAGCCTGGCATGTCCTGGGCTAAATAACCCACATTGTGAATGTTGTACAGACATGGTTACTGTGCAATTATCTAAGATTGTTATACCTTCTTTTGTACTTTCATTTGCTTTATGTTTACTACTGTTCTTTTCCACAGCTGAATATTTTATGAGTTCTATCTCTTTGTCTCTCACTGTTTTTTCTTCTCTTGGTTTAAGGTCATCTCCACTCTTTTTCAAGAGGTCCACCTTTCTGTCAGATTTTTCTTTTTTCTCTTTTCTCCTCTCTCCTTTCTCTAAGTTTTCTGGTTTTCTATCACATTTGTCCATCAGTTTATTTTTCTGCTCATCACCTTCCTGCAGAATGTCTTTGCTTGAATTAACCAAACTGTTAATGTCTTTTGACACAGTTTTTCCTTCTTCATTTGAAGAAAATAAATTATTTACATCTTCACAGTTTGCAACTGGCTCAAAGCTTTCTTCTGTAGAATTACAAGGAGGTTTCTCTCCATCTAGAATATCTTCAACATTCCGGTCTCTCTCAATACTGCCATCCATGCTCTGATGAGACAAGAATTTCTTTGAAACTCTGTCATTAGTCTTTGAATTTGCTACTTCTGTGGAGGCCCTGGCTGCACTTGCTTCTTGGTTTAGAGATGTAATTGTTTCCAAAATGGACATCGCATCATTAGCTACATTTGCACTTGGAGTGGTAGCAGAAACACCTTCAAAGAAGAGGAAAAAATAGCATTTCCTGTGAGAAAAACCTGCTCATACATGTACATATTTTAACTGTGAAACTGAAAAATAAGTTTCTCTCTTCCTTCAAATGGATCTCAACAAATTCAGTTCAACTGAATGCTTATACACATTGTCAGAAAATAGTAGATGAAGTTAATATCAGCTCATTCTTAAGGGTTTCCTTTGATGCTCTTAAAATATTAAGAAATTCTGACATTTACCAGTGCTTTTGGTACCCATTTACCTTATTTCCATAATTTACTTGTCAAGAAGGTATACCATTCATATACACATTTTTCTGAGAGCACTAGTAACTCATTAAATTATAATAAAATGAGTTATTTGAAGTCTTGATTTTGTGATATGCAACACCCTATTCAGAAGCATAGTTAAGCCCAATATTGGATGCTTGTTTGTTCTTTTTTACACATACAAACTAGTACCTCTTCATTTCTTATATAAAGGAAAACTTTTCAATGTAAATTCCTACAGTGTATTTTTTTCCCAGTCTGATCTTATTGTGTAGACTGACATTCCTTGGGAATTTTCTGGGTCAAATACAACATCATACTAAGGAAAGCCTGCTAGTGCAATGGACATTTCTCTCTTTTGCTTCCCTCCTGTAGCCCTTGTGCCACCTAACAATCTGTTCTGGAGATGTTTCCAGCCCTTTGGATTTCACTTTGAGCTTACACAAAGGAGGGAAGTGGCAATCACTTATTTGTTTCACTGATGGAACTGCTTCTATTAATAGAGTGACACAGCTGGATTCAGCCTGCTGCAATCATTCGCTTTTCATCTCATTTCATTAATAATTGATGTAATCTTGTTAACACAAACAACAAGGTTAACGAATACATTTTTTTAAAGGGGGTATTGTACTTTGGCCTACTGCTTAATCCTGGTCCCCAACTGAAAAGACAAACTGCAAGCTCTTTTTAGAGGAGAACTCTCTTTTTGCCAGTCCTCTTCCAGGACTGCCACTGTCTGCCAACTGAAGTCCAGGTCAGGTTCAAAGTGCTAGTGCTAACATTCAAAGAACTGAACAGCCTGGGCCAGGTTATCAGAGGATTGCCTCCTCCCATATATTCCTACCAAGAAACTAAGGTCATCTTTGGAGCCCCTTCCACAATGAAGCAGGCCCCCAAAAAATCAATCCTTAGGAGGAGATCCTCTACAATTCCCAAGAACGTACTTGAAAAAAGGCAAGCTCTAAAAGTAACATACTAATGTAGGTAATACTTGAAAACATGATGACAAAGGATCTCAGGAAGATCTCAGGATTTCCTACCTACTTTGCCCAAAGTTACCTGAGTTGAGAGAAGATGGATTTAATTAACTGAAATGTGCAGTTAGGGGAAAAATAACCGAAGTACTTAGTGCCATTTCTACTCATTTGCCATAAAAAATCTTGTGTTAGTATCTGTGCTAAATGCTGTGGCGGTACACGGAGCTACCAGTGCATCTGTAGTAAGCATTATTATTATACTGCATTGATACCCTGCCTTTGTTCCTCTTGTAAGGAACCTAAGGTGACTTACAAGGTTTATTTATTTTTTGATTTATATCCTGCCTTTTTTCCTACAAAGGGCTCAAGGCAGCTTACATCTCCTCCTCCATCTTATCCCCACAACAACCCTGTGAGGTAGGTTGGGCTGAGAGTCTGTGACTGGCCCAAAGCCACCCAGTTGGCTGCATGGCTGAGTGGGGACAAGAACCCAGATGCTCTTAACCACTACACCACACTGGCTCCCACCAAGCACCTTTCCTTGTACACCTCATCTGGGATAAAAGGAGCCAGGCTAGAGGGCCACTTTCTTGGTCTTTATCTTCCTCTCCTCTCCTGTCTCTCCCTACTACCACCAAGGAGGTAAAGGTGTGCTGTAAGCTAACAAGGCTGAGCAACCCTTGGCCTCCTATCATGTTCCCCATTCCCTGCCCCCCAGTAGAAGGTTGGAAAAATATGGAAGACAGCAGAGTAGTGTGAAAAATGCAGGTCTTCTCTTGCTGCCTTCTCTCTCATCTCATAGAAAGCCTGGCCCAACCTAGAGAAGGACGATGCCATGGCATGAGCATGTAACCCCTTGTGCTGTCCTTCTGATGTCACCAGTATGTATGTATGTATGTACATGTGGCTGACACAGCTCTATTTCTGTCTTCCATACACTAATTGCAGGGGAGAGTGCAAAATTCGGAACTTTGCTGACTGCTGAAGCACAGGTGATGGCACTAGCAAGGAGAGCCTTTTACAAACTTCAGTTGCCACATCAACTGTAACCCTATCTAGCAAAAGCAGACCTAGTCTCAATTATACATGTTCATGTGACATTCAGCAGAACTACTGTAATGCACTCTACACTGGCCTACAAACCGTGCTGGCTGACAATGTGTTTTTGGACACAATTCAAAGTCCCCAATGGCTTGGAGCCAGATTATCTGAAAGTCCACAGAGGTAGATACCAGGGAACACAAATGGGAGACTTGTAGGCTCCCCACAGGCAGCTGGTTTGTATGACCAGAGTGCTAGAGAGGCTTTTGGGACAATTTATTATGACTCTTATATGCTACCTTGCAGCTATCATACAAGCCTACTTCTTGGTTCAGTGTTAGGATGAGCATGATTAATGGCTACTAGAGATAAGGCATTCTCCATTGTGGCCTCATCTACTGAGTTCCCTTCTGAGAAATACACAGCTCCCGTCCACTGCTACTTTCAAGAGGGCTTTTAATTGGCATGTTTCTGATACTTTATGGTATGCTGTTGTTGGATATCTTGTAATAGTATTTTATTGTAACTGCCTTATTTTAAAATAGTTTAAGATAGTTTAATGTGCTTTTATAAGTTATTTCTGACATTGAATTGTTTGTTTTTATAGTATGAGCTATCCTTATAGTGATACTGACTTTAAATGTCAACTAAGAAAACGTGTGATTATTACTGTATCAATGTTGCTTTAAAGGTAAAAATCACTACTTTGGATTATGCTTGAAAACTGAGATAACACTTGTGTATGTCAGCAAAGAGTCCCTACTTTTTCTGTAAGACAGCAGACATCCTAGTTTGTATCAGCCAAAGTTTCCAATGATTTAGGAGGGAGACCCAGGAAGGAGTCATTACTGAAATCAGCTTTAGAGGTTACTCGGACCCGGATACCTACCTGTGGTCAGATCTTTGTCCTCAAGTAAAGGGTACAGCCATGTATTGGCTGCAATCACAAATGGTAGTTCTGGTGACAAGCAATATATGTGCATCTAGAAACAGAGCTAGACTCAGGAGCATGACCAAATGAGAAGCCAAGTGTTTAAGGAAAGTGGGATCCCATCCAGAACAGACACATTCCTCAAACCCATGTCACTGGCTAAAACCATAATTTCATTTTTCTTGTATTCATTCAACTTCTATGAAGGCCATGAATCCAATGACTGTCAATATCTTCACAAAAAGAATGCCCAGAAATCCTTGTGGGAAATTGATTCATTTAAATGGTCCAAATACATTTGAAACTGTTTTCATTGCTGTATGCTAGTGATAGCAGAATTCTACATATGCTTGTTTGGAAGGTGGTTTCATCAGAATTACTTGAAATTATTTCCACATAAATATTTTTTGGGATCAGTAGGCTCAACTTCCAGTAGCCTTCCTTAATTCATTTTTACTTGTTTGTATGCATCAATTTGATCAATGGCAAGTCCCAAATTAAGCCTAAACAGTGTATGTTTTGCCAGAAGCAATGGAAAGAAATACCTTGAATCAAAAAAGCAGCATCTGACTTTTCCTCAGGTGGTGCTGTGCTGGGACTGGGCTCCTCTTTGTGATTTAATGTGGCTAAAAACTCATGGACAGCCTTTTCTACCTGTGGTCTGAATATGTGGTTGATCTTTGGATCTACAACTTGAGAAATGATTCTGTCAATTCCAGATTCTAACATTCCAGATCTGAAACAAAATGACAAAATAAAAATATTTCCTTTTTTTCCTAAAAAGTTGTCCTCATTATTATTATTGATTTCTCATACTGATTCATTTGGTTTAAATATATTAGATCTATTAAGAAGTTGAAAATAATGAATTACAGCACATTTCAAGCATACAAATCTTAGTTTACATTATTTTGCTAAATATAACATCAGAATGTAGAAAATAATTATCTCCTGCATATTGTGGGCAGGGAGGGTGCAAGAGATAGCATTAGCCTAAAACCAAATACCAAGTTCATTGCAGCAGCAAAATTTGAAAGGAGAACTTCAGCTCACATAAAGCATTAAAATCAAAATATGGTCTTGTTTACTTTTCTAAGGGAAATGGTATCCGCCAGTCATCACACAACACAATAGTTCATATTCTTATACTATGGCTTGATACTTGGGACAGAAACTGATGTCACCCCAGGTGTCATCCAGAGTTTACTGGGGGTTTTTTTTTGCCTTATTTGCATCTGGTATCTGTCACTGGCTTAGTGATAAATGTTATGAGTACTGACTAACTACCAATCAAATAAGAAGGCCATTCATTGAGTAACCTTTTCATGGGATGGAATGAAGCAGTCACATGATAAGAAATAGTTTAATAAAGGTACAATCCATGTGCTATGTGTGTGAAATATGTATTTCTAATGCTGTTTAATATAATCATGGATATTATCATAAAGGTTATTTAAGAATAAGCAATATATCACATATTTTTAAAAGAGTAAAAACACATCAAATATGCAAGAAAGAGTTGCACTGTGCAGCAGCCGAGTTCAAAATTCCAGCCGCACCCTTTCCAGATACTTTTTCTTATTCTTCCTCCCTGCCATAAATGGCCATGACTCAGCTTTAAGATATTGCAAGTGAAAGGTTATAACGAGTTCAATACAAAGACATTCATAAGCCCTTTCATATCATTTTTTTTAAATGCTTACTATCACTGTATTTTCTAACCACTGTTGAAACTAACATTTCCTTAGTTTCAAGCACAATTGGGTGGGCTGGGCTGTCCATTTGAAAGACTAATGCTTATCAAAGATACACCCCAACAATATTCTTGAGAAGGGCTCACAGAACTAACTCATATGATTCTTTGTATATTGGCCAAGCTGCCTCACTTACTTTGATATCTGAGGTTTTAAAAAAATATTTTCCTGTTAGAAACCGTTTTTAAACACTGCACTAGGACCAACAAGGTCAGGATTAGTACCTTCATATATGTTTGTAATATTACTTTCCTAGTAATGAAAACAGTTTTAAAGGATAGTAATACAGAAAAAGTCATATCATAAAACAGTGTTCACATTTATCCAATCTAATAAAATATGTATATTCATGTAATTAGGCATTTTAACACAAGTAAATTTGATAACTGAAATGAAAATGAATGTAGAATCATCCTCCCTCCCTCCCTCCCTCCCTCCCTCTCACTGCTCACATTTCAACTGCTTCTTTTCAGTGACAATTATATGACAAGTCTTCACCGCCTCCCTCAATTAACAATTTCCTTCTTGCTGCATCTCAAACGACTCTTGAAACTAAGAAAAAATTAATTTATGATGTAGCATGGATATTAGTAGCTCTTTGAATTCCACTTTTGCCTAGTTTCTCTCAAACATCAGCTCCTCTTTGGAGAGTACTACATTTCCTAAAGAACAAAACTTACTTGAGAACCTGTTGCCTAATATTATTTCTTAGCTGGTTCTTGTTCAGGTGAGGACTCCATGTATGCGTTGCTAGATGGTTGGAAACGAAGTTGTCCACCCGCTGCCTTAAGTTCTGATATGCAGGCTAAAAGGAAAACAAGAGATTCTTTATGAAGCTTCCTGATATAACATACCTGAAATTCCCAAAGGAGGAGGCAAATAATTTAAATTCCTCAATGAACATTTTCTATAGCAGAAAAAATCAATTTTAAAAATTCCTCCAAGAATTCTTAAAGCCTCAGGTAAGTGTCTCAGTTGCTAGGTCACAAAGCACCTTGATTAACCCAGAAGGTACAATGTGAGTCTATTCCAGTCAGCTCTTTACTCTAGACAAAATATAAACAAACATATTTTTTATTTGCTTAGCCTTTCCCCCTAGTCACTCAAGTGTTTCCTTAACTCAATAATTTCTACAATAAACCCTGCAAGACAAAGCAGCATGTTAGAGCACCTAAGTACAGGGATCAGTCTTTTGTTTTTATTCTTTTACTTAAAATATTTTGACCTAGCAATCTTATGGGACAATTCTCAAATCACTGCAAAATATAAAAACATGTTAAATTACCAAAAAATCAATCTGAAGACCTGAAAACATCTAAAGAAAAATAAAATCAAATTTTGCACAAGCAGTTAAAATTCCAGAACAAGATTTTATACAGGATAGTAACATAGGAAACCGTTTAAACTTGAGTCAAACCATTAGTCGATCTAGCCCAGTATCATCAACACTCATATGTTCAGCAGTAGCATTACCCCTGAGCTATAGCCTTCTGTAAGTCTTTATACATGGAACTGTAAGTCCACTTAGAATGCACAATGTAGTATTTTAAAATAATATTATTTTCATCACTAACACTGGTGGTGGTGGTGGTGGTGGTGGAGGAGGAGGAGGAGAACACCAAGAGGCAGATGTCAGTGGTGGAAGCAGTAGCTCCACAAAGCTCAATAAAGCTCACTTCCAGTAAAATGTTTCTGGTATTATATAATATAATCCAGACCAGATAAAAATCAATGATTAAAAAATTGCATTTTTAATTTAAATCAGATTTTTATTTAGATTGGATTTTTTAATAAAATACTTTTTGAGGAAACATTTATTTAAAGATAGTTTTCTATTAAAATAGACTATAATACAAGGATTATTAATCATGAAATAAGGATTAGTTTTTAATTATGTAGCATGAGCCTGTATATTCATGCAATGTTTAAATTTTTTGGTAAATGAATTCCATTAAACCATTCACAATGTCATGCTCTTCCAGAGGTTTCTGTAAGATTATTGGGCAATTTTTTTTTGACCTAAAAGATACCACAGATGCTTGGTTTTATAGTTCTCAAAATTGAATGTATGTTCACATGCCTCTTCTTCACAGCAAAAATGTCGTAAAATAAACATACAAAGTTGAGAAAAAACCTTAATCCCATTGTTCATTTGCAAATCGATGCCCAGAATCAACTTACCTCTTAAGTGTTAAATTTCAAAAAATGCAATGAATAGAAGAAGATTGCTGCACAAGAAGCACTATGTGAGGAGGGACAAGCAAAAAATGAAAGTGAAACCTTTTGAGCAGGGTACAGCACACAACTCTGGATCTCTTTGTGTATCACCTGAAGTTTATCCTATTTTCTTCTTTCCCTGGAGGAGAAAACCTATAATGGCAGCAGACCATAAAATAAACCCAATTTGGGAATATTTTAATAAAGTTCCTCTACCCTATTGGTCAAGCAGGCAGGCATGCAAATTATGTAGGAAACCATGATTTAAATCTAGTCTTACTGACTAGAGATTTAAATCATGATTTGAAATTGATTTGATTTAAATCAAATCTACCCTGATCCTGACTACTTAATAATCTTAACAGAATGCTTATTTTCTGAGCAATTTTTAAAACACGTATTTCCTCCATTCTTGCATGGTAATACACAAACTTACATTGACACAAACTTTTCAAGAACAAGATAAAAGAAGAAAAAACATTTAGGGCATATTTCTGTACAAGTACAGACAGATAAAAGCCACCATGGTTGGGTGGAGCATGCTGAAAGTTGGAGGGTTTTTGTTTTGTTTTGACATCTACCTCTACATAGGTCTGCTTCTTTCAATGCTATGAAATATGCATGGCATATTCCCTGTTCTCAGTAGATTTATCATTATTTACTTAACTGATATTTCTCACCATCAACATACATTTATATTCTTAACAAATTAGCAAGAAATAATAAAATCATACTAGATAAAACATACAACCTAAGGCAGCAACAGAACATTCAACCAGAGAGTAAAATTAAAAACTGCTTTTAGTCAAAATGTTACCATGAACAGTTCTTAAAAGATGGAAAAAAACAAATGTTTTTGTCTGGTGCCTAGATGGTGCCATGCAGGCCTCCCTTCAGGTGAAGGCACTTGGAGAAAGACCTTAGATGAACATTTCAGCAGCCTGGTTGGGATAATATAGAAGGAAGTAGTCTGACAGGTACCTGAGTCCTACATTTTGCATGGCATTAAAAGTTAACAACAGCACTTTAAACTGAGCTCAGAAACTTATGGGGGGCTACTTCATAACAAATAAATACAGCTGTGCTGAAATTGTTTCAATACAAACAATATAGGAAAGTTCTGTCAAAGCCTTGATCAGCAGTCTAACCAGACTCTCCTGAAATAGCTGCAGCTTCCAAAGTTTTCAAAAGCAGTCCCTCATAAAATACACTGCAGTTGTCTCACCTAGGACCTAACTTTCAAACTAAACCAACCTTCCTCAATATGGTGTCCTCCAGATGAACTGGACTACAATTTTCAGCATCTTCCAGCCAAAATAGCTAGCTGAGTAGTGCTGGGAGTTGTAGTCCAACACATCTGGAGGGCAACAAGACTGGGGAATACTGGTCTAGATCTCTGTCCAAGACAGAGTTACAGTACTTATATCAGCCTCCCCATAAAGACTATTTGAGTCTCAAACTACATAAAGATCAGCCTATACATGCTATAGGAGAAACTTTGCCAAGTAAAGGTTGAATTCAATGAGTACTGCAAGTACTATATATAAGTTAGCTTTTTCTTTAAAAAATATCCACCCAGCCCCCCATTTCTCAAAGTGAGGGAAAGGGACTGTGCACGCACACAGTGTCTTGAAATTTACCAAACAAATTTGTTTCTCTGTCAGTGCTACATATGCAAGGTTATAGCCATGACTATCTGACTGGTGATTGAACTGGCAGCAAAACACTGGACTAAATTAAGCTTCCTCTAGTTTAACAAGGAAGTTCTTAATGAAACTCAACAGTGTAGCACTCAGTAAGTTAGGAAACCAATGTCTATCCAGGATCACTTTTCACAGCAGGTGGGAGTGGAGTTTTCACTCCTTTAAAAATATTTTCCTACAGATAGAAACCTTAGTTAACAAGATAGGTTGACCAAAGCCTTCACTATCAACATCTGGTTTTTCATCTGCATGGATTTTTTTTTGGAAACAAATTATTTTAATGTAAACAACACAGCTAGAACTTGATGGTATACAACCAAATAAGTTGCTTTTTTCAGTGATCAGCAAGTTAGAATACTAATAGGGGCAGGCATAGAATGTGAGGACAGAAAAGATGAGCAGGGATTAGCCATGAGGGACAGACATGGGCAAAGCTTTGATGTCTTTGGCAGTTGCAGGATTTTCAGGATTCTCCAGATGAGGAAGACTGAAAGATGAGGGGTGGGAGGCATAATTAAGGAGTAAGAGAATATTAATTTCTATTTGCTTTAATATTTTTACTGGCTACCCCGTAATAGATCTATCCAATACAAGCAGACTCTGCACCTGAACCATAAGCAGCAATTCAACTGTTACTGTCTCCTAAGTTCGGTCTAGTATTCCACCACCCTGAAACCTTCACCCACGACTTCAGGGTCTAAGCATCAGAAAATGTGGCAACAACCAGGCAGCAACAATGGCATTTGCCAATCAGCTGGGGAAAATAATCACTTACTGAACTTCAGGCTATTGTTCCAGCCCCTTTTAGAAAGACACAGGGATTGAGTCCTGCAAAAGTGTGCATGTCTCTGAAGGGAAGCATAGTTGATAAGAAGGATCCCAATCCCCGTGACAGACTGCACCACAAACAAGACAAACCTAGAGAAGGCAAGCCTTCTCCCGCTGCCGCACCTTCGTGTCTACATCTGCCAGGCAGTCGCGGCGGAACTGGTCAAAGAGTCCTTGGCTCTTGAGGCGGTTGAGGATGAGCGACACCAGCTCGGGCTCGGCGGTGGTGGCGCCCGCAGAAGTCCCAGGAAGCGGCGGTGGAGGTTGTGGCTGAGGCGGCGGCGGAGGTGGAGGCGGCGGCGGAGGCGGCGGCGGCTGCGCCGGTGGCGAGGCTGCGGCTGGAACTGCCGAGGTCGCGACGGTGGCGGCGACGGTGCTGCCGCTGCCGGACATGATGATGGCGGCGGCACCTCCCACAGCGACCTGTTACCGAGCAGCGGCAGCGACGGAAGCGATGCTCCACCCTCTTCTCACAACCCACAACCCCGGATGCGGAAAGGGATGCAGGCGGAAGCGCCCGACGAGGAAACGTCGGAAGGGAAGGGGCAATAAGAGGAATTCTCGGCCATTGACCATTTCGAGACCGATCTCTCGCCGAGCAAAGCGCGCATGCGTACTACGCCACAGGGGCGGTCTCCCAAGTGCCTTCCCAAATCCTCGCCCCTCGCGCAAATTTCCTCCCCGGAAATGGAGGCCGCGGGGCCTCCGCTAAGAGGGGCGCGGCGAAAGGACGGAAGAACGTGTAGGGCGCCCCTACACGTGTCTACTCTGGCGTAAGGGCCAATGAGCTAATTCGCCTCCGCCCCCCATGACTTCGAGCGTAAGCCGCGGCCGCTGAGTGGGAGCATCCCTCTGCGCACTGACGGAAACGAAATAATTTCCGCGGTTTCTCTACGTGAAGGCGGTCTGGTGCATGTTTAGAGGCGGAAAAGTCCCGTGACTGGCAGCATTCCCTACCCAGCTGTATGGCTGGGGAATGCTGGCAGTCGCAGGACTTTTTCCCTCTTCAAACTCGCCTAGGATTGTGCCGTTAATGCCGTTTGGGGACGCGCGCAGCGTTCCGAGGTTTGATAGACCTTTGCTCTGCCAACGTCCAGCAAAGTAATGAGACACACAGCCCGACGGTTCTTCAGAATTAATGTACCTCATTATGTTTTGCGCTGATGATGGCAGAAGAGCGCGCATTTAATTCACATGGCGTCAATGGCTGTATATTTATGGGGACGAGTTATTCCGCTAATTGAATTTTATTCTACTTATAAAGATCCAATCCATAACTCATTGTAAACAACTTGACTGATAGTATAGCTTGAGATTCAGAATCATAAAATTACTCTCTTTTTGTAATATAAAATGATTTTGTTCATATTCATTTTGCCTATTTAGAATTTTTTGCCTGTCTATAGTTGCTTGACAGCTACTCTTATTGAAAATATTGGAACAAAAAGAGAATTATGAGGAGTATCCTGATGAAAAATAAGGTTCATTTTCCCTTATGAATAAATTTGAGATGTTATATTATTGTTTCTACTGTTCTTGTTATAGTTTTTTATCTACTTCATTACCAGACAAAAAGTTTCGCAGTTGCTATCGAACTCACTTGCTATCATAATGATTCCCTGATTTTTACTATGTTTTATAAATTTGTTCTAATTATTTTGCGATGGGGGAACTGATCTTTAGGTCCATTAGCTTCTCATATTTAAAAGAATCTATTTCTGTGGACCACAGTTGGGCAATTTGTAGTTCTCCAGAAGGTTGGTTTATTAATCCCAGCAGTCCTGGTCAGTGTAGCCAGTGGTGAGGGACATTGTGAATTACAAGTTAAGGCATGGGGGGGGGGCACAGTTACTCATTCCTGCGAGTCACCATATTATCTGCATAAGAACTTGATTTAGCTTTTAGTATTTTATATCTTTAACCATTCTCTTTTAGCTGTAGCTAGTGGTTCTAAGCATAGAACAAAGGGAGTAAGCTTGTCTTGTCTTCTTTCAACATTTGCAGACATTCAAGGTACACTCATATATACAAGCTGGTAGGAGATCTGTAATGTTTGGATACAACATACTACCAGGTTTCTTTTATACTCTTTTCATGTTTGACATGCCCCTCCCAGTTCACAGAGGTACCTGGGTAATACCCTCTCAGGCTGTTTTATTTCATACAGCATATGTTGAGACACTTGTTGAGGCTGAACAAATGTTAAAAGATTAATCACTTGTTCAGAAAATACTTGGGGATGATATTCATCCTTCATTATTTGATGTGAAGCACCGTATAGGATTCCTGGTGCATTTACTAGTTGCAGCAACAGTAGTTGAGGCAATTCTAGGTGAAGAAACGGTGCTTTAAAAAAAAACCCCATTAAGTCCTTAACTAAGTCCATAAACCATGAAGTTGTGCCATAACCAAAGATGGTATATTCAAATAAGCTTCATCTATTTCTTCACCCATTTGCTGTTGCACAGCTTTCATGTTTCCAGCTTTTGGTACCTATCCCTCCTTTCTTTGGCTTTGGAGAAAAATACAATGTCTTGTTTCCTATGGCATGACATGAAAACAAAGCAGGACAACTAGATGTTCCTCTCCAGCAAGGATGGTGCCAGTGTACCAGCCTTGCTTGGCAGTTCTTTGATCACTAATAACATCAACATCCCAAGTACAGAAGTACTATGAGTCCCTTCTTCATATGCATTGTAACTGCAGTGATATATTGGTGTTCGACTTGCATGAAAATAAATGATTATTGATCTTCAGCTTCATTTAGTTAGCACATATTTCTCTATCAAGAGTTTTTCTACTCAAGACATTTATTATACACTTGCCATTCCTTGGCTGTATATGGATTCTTCAGAGAATGTTCATCCAGTTTCACTTCTGTTTTTAGAGCAGAAAAAATGGAATATTTCTGAAAGCAAAAAAATGTATTTTACTACTTGCTCAAATGAATTATTCAATGATAGCATAATAGCATCCAGAAGTTATAAAATAGAAATTAGGAAAGGAAAAACTCCTTGGGTTCTTGAGCAATTCTGTAAGAACACCAAAAGTAGGTACAGCAAATTAACAGCTTCATGCAGAAAAGCTCCATTTCTTCTAGATCTGCTGGAGTGTGCTTTGTCCTTGATTGGCTGTCCAATTTTTTATACATCAAACACTCTTGTAGTTCTTGGTTGATACAATTAGAATATCACTGCATGTTGGCTGAATATCATTTGATCCTAGTCCATTTGATCCAATTCAGAAGAGACCACCATCCTGCCTAAACATGGTTGTACTTGTTAGCGTATATTCTACAGTACTGTTTGTTGGATAAGCTGTTTGAACAGCATGTAGAAGTTTAGGCTTATTTGATTTTTAGAAAAGAAAGTTGGGATACTGACTGTGCAATCTGAAACAGTCTTCAGAAATCAAGATTTGGTAATGAGAATCAGAGGCAGGGTGGATAAAAATCAATTATTTTTTTAAAAATAAAAATAGGATTTTTAAAAATTTAAATTGTTTTTTGTATTTGAATTGGATTTTTACAAAGTAAAATGCTTTTTGAGGAAAAATGTACCTAAGGTTAGTTTTCTATTTAAGATACATTATAGTCCAAAGGTGAAATAAGATACATAATAGTCCAAAGGTGAAATAATCATGAAATAAGAATTAGTTTTTAATTATGTAGCATGAGCCTGTATATTCATGCAATTTTTTTTTTCAGTAAATGGATTCTATTAATGCATTCACAATGTCATGCTCTTCCAGAGGTTTCTGTAACATTATTGGGCAATTTTTCTATCTAGAAGATATTATCACAGATGCCTGGTTTTACACTTCTCAAAACTGAGAATGAATGTCTGCTGAGATCACATGTCTCTTCTTTACAGCAAAAATGTCATAAAATATACAGAGTTGAGAAAAAGACCTCAATCCCATTGTTCTTTTGCAAATCTATGTACGCAGAATCAACCCCTTACCTCTTAAGTGCTAAGTTACAGAAAATTCAATGAATACAAGATTGTTGGGAGCAGAATAGACCTGCACCAGAAGCTTTGTGTGAGGAGGGATGGGCAAGCAGAAAAATGAAAGTGAAACCTTTTGAGCAGGCTACTGCACAAGGCTCTGGATGGTTTTTGTGTATAGCCTGAGGCTTATCATATTATTCTTTCCCTGGATGAGGAAACCTATAATGGCAGCAGGCCCCAAAAGTGACTAATTTGGGAATATTTTAATGAAATTCCTCTACCTACTGGTAAGGCATGCATGCATGCATATTATGTAGAAAACCATGATTTAAATCTAGTCTTGCCAACTAGTGATTGAACTCATGGTTTGAAATTGATATGATTTAAATCAAATTCATCCTGATTAGAAGTGATAGTTGCAGAATATTTTATTACCACTGAAAAGAAGTGGCTTTGGCAGTCCTTTCAATCATTTTCGCCATTTCCCTTAACTGTGGCTGTGTTGATGCCCGCTATATAGCATTCTTGTGGCTTATGATCACCTTCAAAGAGTGATTATTCTGTTAGCTATTCAAGTACTGTCTGAACATTCTTCCATTTTTTGGCCTCAGGCCTCTGCTTTCCTTATGTCAGTCACTTGTTGCATATGATACTTCAATCTGCAACATCCTCTGGTGACAAGAGCTGTCCAGAAACTGCATATCCTGCTAATGAGCACTAGCCAACAGCTGAAGAGTCTACACATTTGAACATGCTATGCCATACTAAAGCATGAAGGGTGACTTAATAATATTATGGTCTCTGGTAAAATATGCATTGCCTTTTAGAAGGTATGAAAAACGGTTTTCTATTCAGACCCTCTCTGGGTCAATTTTTAGGGTTGCTACCTTCTGCATTTTGACAGAGGGTACCCCTAGGCGTTTCCCAGCTAAGGCTTTCCAATTTTGCACCCAAAAGAGTGCAGAGGTCTGCAGTTGTGCAAGTGCTGCTAAATATATACAAAAATATTTCTGCACATTGTGGGCACATTTATTTTTAAAGGTTGGCAACCATGGACACCCTCTCTAATGTGCCACTTGGAAATGTTGAAGGTACTGTTATTTGCTGTCAATGGACATTATGAAATGGGTTGTCAGGTGGGAGACTGTAATCTTGAAGCTTGGAAAAAAGGGCTTGTGATCACAGTGATAAGGAGCAGACAAATGAGTCCCACCAGACTCCCTTCTGTGGCAGGTTTTTTCCCTGTTCCTCCAGGCATATCTGGAGCAAAGGCTTTGTAACTGAAGCCTTTATTATGGAACAGCTGAAGCTGTACAGCTAGGCAGGCTTTGTGATACAAAAGAAAAGTATTGCAGAAGTCAATGACAAAAGACACAGACAAAAACCAATTAGTAAAATGCAGGTCAATGATACGAAGTTGATTCTAAACTGAATACCTCTCCTGTCTTCCAACCCAAAAAGAAATGGTCCTAATTTCAAAGTGGATTGTGCAGCTTGTGGGCCAGGTCCTGGGAATGTTTGGTGTTTCTCAGTTGGCCTGCCCTCTCAATCTGACAGAGTATGATTGGACTAATGAGGTGCAGCC